GGTTCCAGTTCCACACCCTCGCCAGCACGTCTTCTGGTTGATCTTGTGAGTTTCATCCATTCTAATAGGCAAGCAGGGGTATTTCACTGTGGTTTCCATTTGCATTTCCTTGATAATTAATGATGTCAGGCATTTTTCCATCTTCCCATCTTTCCATCGTACTTTGTTTGCTATCTAAATCTTTTCTGGTGAAGTATCTGTTCAAATCTTTTATAGGGTTGTTTTTTTCTTATTCAGTTTTGAGAGTTCTTTATATAGTCTAAATTTGTTACTATTATCAGATTCTCCCAGTCTTAGTGTAACTTTTCATTTTCTTAACAATATCCTTCAAAGAGTGGAAATTCTTAAATTTGCTGAAAGTCATACAGATTTTCCTCAGTGTTTTCTGCTAGAAACGTGAGCGTCTTTGGTCTCGGATCCATTTTGAGTTGATTTTCATGCGTGGTGTGCGGCCTCGTTTTTTTTTTTTTTTTTTTTTTTTTTGAGACGGAGTCTCGCTCTGTCACCCAGGCTGGACTGCAGTGGCCGGATCTCAGCTCACTGCAAGCTCCGCCTCCCGGGTTTACGCCATTCTCCTGCCTCAGCCTCCCGAGTAGCTGGGACTACAGGCGCCCGCCACCTCGCCCGGCTAGTTTTTTTGTATTTTTTAGTAGAGATGGGGTTTCACCGTGTTAGCCAGGATGGTCTCGATCTCCTGACCTCGTGATCCGCCCGTCTCGGCCTCCCAAAGTGCTGGGATTACAGGGTTGAGCCACCGCGCCCGGCCTGCGGCCTCGTTTTTGTTGTGTTTTGTTTTACAAACGCCCAGGGACTGCAGCCACTCAGGGAGATGCCCTTCCTCCGCTCAGCATCGTCGTCCCTTCGCCAGCCACCACCCGGCTGTGCAGCTGTGGCGCGCTTCTGGTTCCCCACCCCGTCCCACGGGTCTACACGGCTGCCGTCGTGTCTGTGCTCCACTGTGTCAACACTGCGCCCGTGTGATGGGCTCCTGACATCAGGTGGCATGTGCCCTCCTATTTTGGCTACTTTAGGTCCTTTACATTTTTATATAACTTTTAGAATAAACTTGTTAAATTCTACAAAACAAAACAAAAAAAACCTGTGGAGATTTTGACTAGAGTTGTGTGGAATCTACAGATTACTTTAGGACAAGTTGACACCTTGGCAATATTGGGCCTTCTCACCTAAGAGCCTGACGCTTCTCTCCATTTGTTTAGTTCTTTGATCTCTCTCAGCAATGTTTTACAGTATGAGTGTACAAAGTCTTGCACCTTTTGTCAAATGTATCCCTAAGTATTTCCCGGCTTGGAAGCTATTGTCAATGGTAGTGTTTTAAGTTTTAATTTCTGATAGTTAGTTATATAGAAATGCAATTGGTTTTTGTACCTTGACTTTTGTATCCTTCAACCTTGCCAAAATCACTCACTAGATCACACTTTCTACACAGATGATGAGCCCACCCGCAGAGAAGATCTATCTAGATGCTTTTCCTTTCTTCCTCCTGCCTCTGTACTCCAGCTGAGATCTCCAGCACGGTGCTGACACTGCAGTGGGTGGCCCCGCCTGGCTGCTGGCCTTGGGGGACGGCCTCAGCCTCCGGCCGACCTGCGACACTCAGGGACAGCTGTTCTGCGGATGTCCTTTGCCAGCCGGAGGAGGCCGCCTTCCCCTCCTCGTTTTCTAAGAGCTCGTATTCGGAGTGGATGTTGGGTTTTGTCAAATGCCTTTCTGCATCTATTGCAATCATTAGATAGTCTTTATTTTTTAGCTTATGGATATGGTGAATCACATTGGCTGATTTTTCAAACATTAAATGACCCTTGTATTCCTGGGTTAAAATCCACGTGGACATAATATAAATCCTTGTAACGTCTCGTTTTGCTCCATTTCCTAACATTTTGTTAAGAATGTTATTAGCATCTATATTCATGAGGCATATTGGTCCTTTTTTTTAAAATCTCCTGACGTCTTTCTCTGGGTTTGTGTCCGGATAACGCCAGCCTCAGAAAATCAGCTGGGAAGTACAGTCTCTCCTCTTTAATTGCTGTGGGAGGATGTGTGTAGACATCCTCTGGGTGTAGAGGTTTTTCCTTTGTGGGAAGATTTTAAACTAAACTGTCTATTACCTTAATAGATACAGGCCTATCCAGGCCATCCCTTTCTTCTAGAGTGATTATGTAAGCTTGGGTCTTTCGAGGAACTTGTCCATTTCATCTAAGTTGTTAAATTTATTGACACAGCATTATTCATTATTTACTTTTTATCCTCTCTTGACTCTGTAGTGATGCTCCCTCTATCATTTTTGATATTGATAATTTGTGTCTCTGTCTTTTTCTGATCAGCCTGACCTGACTAGAGGTGTATTAATTTTATTGATTTTTCTCAAAGAACTTGCTTTTGGTTTGTGTTTCTGTTTCCTGTGTCATAGATTTCTGTTCTTATGTTCATCATCCTTGATTATGTTTGTGTTAAATTTTTTCTTCTTTTCCTAATTTTTGAAGATAGAAATAGCGGTCATTGCTCTGTGGCCTTTTTTCTTTCTAATATACATGCTTAGTTCCGTAAATCCCTTCTTGCGCGTCAGTGGCATCCACAAGTAATGATAAATTGTGTTTTTGTCTTCATTCACAACACAATATTTTCTGAATTCCCCTTTTAATGTCTTCTTTTATCCACGGGTATTTAAGAAGTATATTTAGTTTCCAAGTGTTTGGGGTTTTCCAGGCATGATTTCTGTTATTAAGTTCTAATTTAACTCCACTGTGGTCAGAGAACCTACTGTGGGTAATTTGGACCCTTTAATATTTTTGTGGCTTGTTTTATGGCTCAACTTAGGGTATATCTCGTCAAATGTTCCGTGTGTGTGTGAAAAAAGTGTACATTCTTCTGCCATGGGGGGAATGTCACATAAACATCCATGAGATGAGGCTGCCTGGCATGTTTCATCCTCCACACCCGACTGATTCGATGCATATTTGCTCCGTCACTGTTGAGAAAGGGATGTTGACCTCCCCAGCCATCCCTGGGTGCGTCTTGACTGTTTTGTGGCTCTGTGGGTTTTGTCTCATGTATTTTGCCGCGATGTTAATCAATGTACAGACATTTAGGTTTCACACCCTCTTCGTGAATTAGCCTCCTCCTCTTTACAGAACCGCCCGCTGTAGCTCTGGTCACACTCCCAGGGTGAACTCCACCTTTTTCTGATTTAATCTCACCATGCCAACCTTCTTTGGATACTAAGAGATATGGTTTTTCCATCCTTTCTTTTTAACTCACCATTTTCTTTTCATTTAAAGTGGGTTTCTTGGAGGAAGCGTATTTTGAATGCTAAATTTTCATTTAATCAGATGATCTTTTTCTTTTAGTTGGGGGTGTTTAGACACTTAATGTGATTATGGATATGGTTGGGTTGAAATATACTATCTTGCTATTTCTTTTTTATTTTTCCTATCTGTTCTCTCTTCCCTTTTTTTCTGTGTTTTTTGGATTAAGAGGGTGCTTATGATTCCATTTCATCTTCTTCATTATGTATTTGCTATAAACTTGGGGGGGTTGTTTTTCTTGTTGTTTTGTTTTTATTGATTACTTGAGGATGCATAGTTTATAACGTTATCACAGTCTATCTTCAAGTAATATTATACCACTTTCTCTAGAGGATGGAGCCTTTACATACTTTGCTTCCATTCCCTCCCTCTCATCTTTGGTGCTGTTGTTATTCATTTCACATTTAGGTTATAAAACTCCATACCATTATTATTTTCTTTTGCTCTAAACTTTTTGCTCAAAAAATTTTAAAGAGATTTTGAAAATAAAGGAGTTTTAAGTGTTTATCCGTCTTTTCACTTTTTTCAGAGCTGTCTCTTTCCCTGGCCTTGCACACAGGCGGCGGCCGTCTTCCTGCCGTGGGCTCTGCAGATCTCGGAGTGGCCGTTCCTTGCGGCTCTCTCCTTCCGGGCGTCCCGCTCTGCACGTTGGAGCTGTCGGTTTCCCCAGACTCCAAACTGCCTGTCCTCAACTTGGGGAGACCCCTGGGCTCTTCCCGCCCCCCCCAACAATGTTGGAAACTCCCCAGGGAGTAAGAGCCGGGGGGGCCGCCGTGGCACTCACCAGCCAACCCCTCTTTCAAGGATCCCCGTCCTGCGCGGCCTGCTGGTCAGTGTTTGAAACCCTCAGTTCATGTGTTTTTCTCTGGTTTACAGTTGTCTCAGTTGGAAGGACAAATCTGGTCCTTGTTACTTCATCTGAGATGGAAGCAAAAGTCCAATCTATTTATTTTTAATTTTGATATTGAAGTGCCACATACATGCAGAAAACTGCACATACCACACGTGTAGGGCTTGGGGAAGTTTCACAAACCAGGCATGTCTGCACAGCCAGCACTCAGTCACAGAATGTGGTCCACCCGAATCCCAGCCGAGGCCAGGGCCTTCCGCGCTCTCCCTTATTGCTCTCCACAGTCTGCGTGATTAACGGAGAGGCTAGCTGTTAACTACACATCTGGTCTCCTCCTTTGAAACAGATGTTTGTGGGGGCAAGAACGGCATTAAGTTTGTCTTCCCTGTGTGTTGGCACCAGGATACTGGCACATAGCAGGGATTTTTAAAATAGTTTTGAGTGTTTATATATATACATACATATTTTATTTTTGACAGGGTCTCACTCTGTTGCCCAGGCTGCAGTGCAGTGGTGCCATCTCAGCTCCCCGAAGCCTCCGTCTCCCAGGCTCAAACCATCCTCCCAGCCTCCTGAGTGGCTGGGACCACAGGTGCATGCCACCATGCCCGGCTAATTTTAAAATTTCTTGTAGAGATGCACTCTCGCCATGTTGCCCAGATTGTTGAGTGTTTATATCCTATAAATATCTTTGAGTGAATAAATGCCTAGAAAAATGTTGCAACATTTGATGATTATTTTTTGATAGGAGCTAACATTGTTTCATCTGAAAAATAAATATCTCCATTTTAAAATTAGACATTAAGGTGGCTAAGGGCAGTCCCTACCTGGCTCTTCTTTATGGAGGCGATTCCACAACATTTGAAGAGAAAATTCTCGTGACACAGAGGAAATTGTCCCTTCATCAAACACAGAGAGGCCTTCCAGTGGCAGCTCCAGGAGATGTCTGTCTGCCACCAGGATGATCTTATCCACAACCTCGGGCTGGACTGTGTCTGGGAAACAGCCGTGCAGGGAGATCAGCTCCTGAAGACAGGACCCCTCACACGGGGCCACAAGGCTCCGTCTCCTGACTTGGCTTCTGGGCGCTGGGAAAGGCTGACAGCCCGCCTTGACTCCATGCCACCTTCTCCTCCAGATGCCCCAGAACAGAACCGCCTCCCATCACGCCTGTCCCTCCACACGATTCGTTTTGTTAGCAAGCACACGTGGTGTGGCGGGGCTGCCGATCCACCACGCGAGGGAGCTGTGCTGGGTTCCGTGGTGCTCTCAGGGGGCTTGGCACAGAGCCTCCTACCCGGAGCCTCCTATCCGGAGAGGCACGGACCCTCCGACCCGGTCCGTGGCTGTGCACAGAACCTTCCAGGGACCCCCTGCGCAAGGAGGCCTCAGAGGGAGGGCTGCAGGGCTTGGGGGCTCCTGGGCTCCTGACCCCCCTTGGCGTTCCTGGATGGGTGGGTGGATCCCGACCCCACCTCTTCTGGCGGGACGAGCACCCCGGGCTGAGTGGCTGTGCCCGCCCCACTCACTGTGTTGTCCTGTGGACATTTTCCTCTCCTTGTCTTTGCCCTTCGACTTCCCTGAATCAGCAACGACCACCGGCATCTGCACTCTGAAAGTCAGGTTATATATTCGAAAACAGACAGATAACAAATGCTTGGAATATAGGCGACCCCTCCTCAGCCTGCTTCACTCTAAGGCAGCAGCGCCACGAATCCCCACGCTCACTTCTGGGATGGTCCCACTGAGGCGGGGCCGGGATGAGCCACAGGATTTCGGGATCATCTCTGATCCACCAGCCGAGCTAAACGGTGCCAGGTGTCTGTCCCCTCTGCCTTCCTTCCCACCCCAAATCAAAGGAGCCCGGGCTGTCCCTCGGAGGTGCTTGCTGTCCCACCCCACACTTGGGCCGGGGGCTGGAGGGGCCGTGGGGAGTGGGCAGTGGGCAGTTCTCCTCCAGGCAGGAATGGAGGCAGAACCAGGAAGAAATGCTTCCTGGGAGCAGGCGGGCAGTGCGGAGTCTGGAACAAAGGTGGCCGAGAAGGCACAGCAAGCACACGTGGTTGGCCACGGCACTGGACACACGTGTCCATGCATGAGTGTGGTGGGGAGCCGGCTGCAACGTCATCCCTGGTACCTGGCCTCAGAGAGGCTGAGCAGGGGGAAGAGCTGCCGCAGAAGCTCCTCCAGGGGCCCCAGGATGCTGCTGAGCCTCTGCACAGGGTACTCCTTCTCTTCCACCTGGAGGCCTTCTGGCTCCTACTCAACCCAAACAAGAGGCCCCCATAGCAAAGAGGGTGCATGGCCCAGACCCCACGAGGGCCAGGCCCCTGCGGAAAGGCCGAGCCCCTGCCCCTTCTGTGAACAGCGTGGTGGACAAGGGCGCCTGGCTCGGTAATGAGGGCCCCACAGCACCTGGCCCATCCTCTGGAGGGTCACCCTGAGACCCCAGCCCCCACCCATCTCCTCTGCCCGCACCACAGAGGGCCCCTCCTCTTTGTCTGCACTTCAGGGATCAGGCATGGCCAAGGAGTCCAAGCAGTGAGTTCTCCCCCAACATGGAACTTGGCCTGGGAGTCAGGATGGCCCAAGCCCTTCAGCAGCCTGGCCTAGCGCCCCGCCCCTCCCCCCACCTCGCTGGGATCCTGGCTCTCAGGGATGGGGGCAGAGGGTCCTGGCAGGGTGGCTTGGAGTCTGGAGGGCCTCACCGAGCCTGCGTTCAGGGCCATGTCCTCGCTGTACACCTGGGCCTGGGTCTGCTTCCGGAACTGCTGGGCACGGGCCAGCAGGTGGGAGAAGGCGGTGGGACTCATGGCCAGACGCATCACCTTGCAAAAGCCTGCAGGAACGTGGACACACCCTCTGTTGCTGCCCAGGCCTGAGGACGGCAGCTGGACCGTGCGTGGTGGGCAATGGGAAAAGGGCTGCTGTCTCGCAAGAAAGGCTGCATGGATGGAAGTCCCTTCCGCCGTGTGGGGTCCCCTGGCCGCATGCCGTGGAGCGGCTGCCACATCATTGTGCAGCCAGCGATGGGCCTCCTGGGCCCCAGGGAAGCACACGCCCCGTCTACATCTGTTTCCAGAATGTCACAGGCTCTACAGACCCCTCCATCCCTGTGGGTGGAGGGCGGGGAGAGGCCACGCCTCCGGGACCCCAGGGGCTCCCTGGTGGGCCTTCAGTTTCTGAAAGGAAAGGGCCCTTGTGCAGGGAGCTCTTCGGCGCAGTGGGCATCAGCGCTGCTCCTGCCCCTGCTCCCCTCCCCCCTCCCCTCCCCCCTCCGCTCCCCTCCCCCCTCTGCTTCCCTCCTGCCCACCTCCCCTCCCCCACCGTTCCCCTCCCCCATGCTCCCCTCCTGCCCCGCTCCCCTCCCCCCTCTCCTGCCCCTGCTCCCCCCTGCTCCCCTCCCCCCTCTCCCATCCCTGCTCCGTGCCACCTCTCACCCCTGCTCCCCACCCCTGCTCCTGCCCCGGTTCCCCTCCCCCTCCCCCCTGCTCCCCCCCCTTTTGCTCCCCCCTCCCACCCCATTCCCCTCCCCACTCTCGCCCCTGCTCCCCGCGCCCTCCCGCTCCTCCTCCCCCCTCCCCGCCAAGCAGCCGTGCTCACCTCCTGCTCCTCCTCCCCCCTCCCTGCCGAGCAGCCCTGCTCACCTCCCACCGGCTGCACCTTTCCTTTGGCTGCGGTAATGAACTTGGGTTTCTCATAGGCAGCACCGTATAGATAGGACCTGCTGGCAGGACGTGGGCCAGGGTCGCAGGCAAGCCACGATGGAAACACACCTCACAGCCCAGCTCCAGTGACCTCAGAGGAGCCCAGTGAGGCCCACTCTGCAGACCACGCACCCCCAGCAGGGCCCCCCCGTGTGCGCCTCCAGGGGCACCGCCGGGTGTGCGTGGCCAGTCAGGACCTGGACTGAGAACAGGCTGGGTCATGCACCGGGCAACTGGCCACAGCCAGTGACTTCTGTGGTCACTGCCAGAGGCACCGCCGGCTGGCTGCAGGCCAGTGGGAGCAGGAGAGGGCAGCCATCCTCTCCACTCCACTGTCACAGTGACCTTCAGGTCAGGACGCCCAGACCAGACACAAAGGCCCTGTACGGGAGACAGGTCGCAGGAGGCGGGTGTGCCGCACCCCTGGACCGCCCCCGCCCTGTGTCATTGGTAGCTGGTGTCTGTCCGGCACCTTCTCAGGACCGGCTGGGCGTTTCCCGAGTCCCAGGCCTCCCTGGGGTGGGGCTGAGGTGTGGGCAGCCCACGGCTGGGTCTCTGCCTCCCTGAGGCCTCTCAGCGGGCTGGGGGCGACCTCAACAGGAACGAGCGTCTTTACCTGTCCCGTGAGAGGTGCAGAAAGAGGACCCGAAAGGTAGGAGGCATCTCATTCAAGAGGTTAAAGTGCTGTTCAGTGACGCAGAGATTTTGCCAAGCCTGTGTGGTGAAAAACGGCTATCAGGGGACGCATTTAGGATGCAGGGATGTCGTTGTGCTGTTCCCTCGTTTCCAGGAGACCCCGCGGCAGAGCCAGAGCGGGGCTTTGTGCCTTTCCTGCCCCGGGCTGGGGCCTTCGGGGTTCCCGGGGGGCCCTGCTGGGAGTGACTCGGGGATGGCACCAGGGGGCAGCAGAGGCACGCACGAGTCACCGGCGGCCCCAGAATGTCATTTCTCTCCGGTTGTTAATGTTTAGAAACCTGATTTGCATGACGCGAAGTGCATGTTCGCCAAACCCAAAATAACAAATGGAAAATTCCCCAGCGCCTCCTCCGTGAGTGGTGCCTTTCCCTCCGTCTTTCCTCCTGTGTCCTCCACACCACACATGGAGACACACATGTACATGGATGCATGCAGACACACGCGTGCACAGACGCACACTCACACAGACAGGCGTGGACACACACACACCCGTGCACAGACGCGCACACACAGACATGCACAGACACACACAGACGCAAGTGTACACGGACCTAGACACACAGACATGCATGGACACAGACACGCACATGTACACAGATGCACACACTCACGCATACAGGCACGGACACACACGGACACACACGCGTACACAGTGCAGACTCAGAGCCGTGCCCCCACGCTCCCCTGGGGAAGGCCCTCTCTTCCCGGCCCAGGGATGCCAGTCGGCTGTGGTCAGGCGGTGCAGGCGGCGTCTCTAGCCCATCCCCTCCTGTGGACTATGAGTCTAATACCAGACCGGGCACGTAGTTCAAGCTCCTCACCACCAGCAGCAAGCGGCCACCACAGCCCCTGAGGGCCAGCTAGAGGGCTCCTGGAGGCCTGGGCCTCTCCACAAGGGCAGCCCTCCCTCTGTCGAGCTGTGAGGCTTGTGGTTCTGAGTCATAGCTTCAAGTCTGCACAAACAAAGCAGTGTTTATAAAACTTATTATCAAAGTAGAATATACAGAAAGTGGTGTAAAAGCCCATGCGTGAAAAGCTTGACGGACTTTTGCAGTGGGCACACCGTGTGGCCAGGCAAAGAGACAGGACATTGCTGGCCAGTGGCCCTCCTCCCCACAAGGGGACCACAACAGATTCTAGCAGCTCAGGCGGGCTTTTCTGCCGGGCCTCTGGCTCGCGCTGTGGGCTTCACCCAGGTGGAGCATGGGGCTGACCCTCCTCGTGGCAGACACCGCAGCTGGGAACGCCACAGCTTCTTCATCCCTTCTGTGGCCGAGGGCATCTGGGTGGCTTCCTGTCACTGGGGGTCATGAGCGATGCTGCTCTCTCGGGACCCCAGTGAAGCATTTCTACCGGGCGTGGAGTCAGGTGTGGACGCGCGGCGTCAGCTACAGCGATTCCGCCAGAACTCTGCCCAGGGGCTGCTGCGCCAAGGGGCGGGCATGAGACCCAGGGAGCCTCAGCTGCCCCCATCCCCGTCTCACCTCCACTGGCCATGTCCTCCTTTTCCATGGGAGCCATTCTGGTTGGTGTCTGGTTATCTGCATCTGGCTTCAATTTTGCATTTCCCTGACTAATGAACTTGCACACCATTAAAATCGTTTATTGGCCACACGAATCCTACTTTTGTGAGATTCCAACCTCATGCCATCTTCTGTCAGTGTCTCCTTTTCTTATTTAAAAGGGACCCACACCCTCCCCCACGCGGGGCGCATGTGTGTCAGGCAACCTAGTGTCAAGGTCTTCTCATTCTCTGTGGCTGCCCCTCGACTCTCAGCAGGGCATTTTTGATGAATAGAACTTCTGAATTTTAGCCCGCAGTCTGATTTGTCATTTTTCCCCTGTACGGCTCCTACCCTGTGTCTCCCGTGGCCACAGGGCAGTGGCGCAGCCCCAGGTCCCCACAAGGGACAGAGCCCTGGGCCACCTGCCAGGCCATCTCTGTGGAAAACTACATTACTAATAGCTCAGGGGAACCAGGCTAAGACCTCACCGGGGGAGGAAGAGGCTCCGTGAACCCTCGGCCACAGAGAACGGGTGGCTTCACAGCGCGGAGCCTCTCGGCCCACACTCAGGAACAGCACCTGAGTTCTTCAGTCTCTTGGTTCTGTATTTTCTTTTCAGTCTTTCTGCATTTTCTTTCTTTTTCTAGTCATATTGTACTATATTCAATACAAGCACCGATCGGGCGCACATTTCCACTCTTGCGGAAAACTTTTCAATGTTGTACCGTTAAATACGATGCATACTAGGGCTGTAGAGAGATTCTTTATTGGATTAAGGACATTTGCTTCTATCTCAATTTTAAAAATCATGAGTGGATGTTGGATTATGAAAGATACCTTTTTTGCACCTGTCAAGGCGATCTTACGATTTGTCTCCTTTTCCTTCTGTTAACGTGCTCAATGATATTGAACCACATGGAACACCACCACTTGGCACCGACGTGCGCCTTTATAACTGCTGGGTTTTATTTGCTGTATTCTGTTAGGATTTTTGTGTAATAGTGATGAGAGAGCTTTTCCTTTCTTGTAGTGTCCCTGCTAAGTTTCCAGTGTCAATGTTCATCTAGCCTCTTAGTAAAAGAGGAAGTTTTTTGCTTTATTTCTATGAGTTTTCAAAGTGGTTATTTCTTCTTTCAGTTTTTGGAAGAATTTACTGGTGAAGCCAGTGGGATCTGGGTTTTCTTTGTAGCAACATTTTAAATAAAAGATTCGATTTCTTTAACAGACATTGAATCATTTGGATTTTCTACGCTTCTGTCGGCTTTGCTGAGCTGTGCTTTTTTGAAGACTTGGTCCGTTTGGGTCCATTGTCGCCTGTATTGGAGTAAGAACATTCTGTGTGAACTCTCAACATCTGCATCATCTCAGTGATGGGTCTTTTTCTTGCTCACATTGGAAACTCGCCTGTTCCCTTTTTTTCTTGAGCAGGGATTTCTCCATTTCATTGTCTTCTCTTTGGAACCAACTTGTGCCTTGGATTTCCTTTGCTGGTTTTGACTTCGCTGTTTCTCGTGCTGTATTGATTTGTCCTCTTTCATTTTTCTTAGATGTAACTGATTGTTGTTGTCCAGCTTCTCGAAATCAAAGCTTAAATCAAGGTTTTTTCTGGCTTTCTTCTTGTATTCAAGGCTGTATTTTTCCTGTAACCCGTTTGAGCTAAGTCGCGTAAATTTTTATTTGTAGTATTTCCATTCACTAAGTCAGTTTAAATCTAAGTCAGTTTAAAGTGTTTTCTGAATTCCACTGTGACTTCTTCCTTGACTAATTTGATCATCATAAGTAACTGTTTAATTTCGAGGCACCCGTGTTTCTCACAGGTCCAGTTTTGTTACTGATTTCCCACTTTACGTCACCGAGGTTGGAAAACACGCTCTGAGTGACCTCGGTACTGGGGATCTCTGCTGTGGCTGTGTGTGGCCCAGCAACGGTCGCTTTCAGCCACGTCTGGTGAGGGCCTTCTCGCAGGTGGGGATGCCACAGAGTCCAGGGTGGTGCGGGGCATCCCATGGCGAGGGGCTGAGTGTGCCAGCTCAGGTCTCTCCTCCTCTTCTTATAAAGCCACCAGTCCCGCTCCCAGGATAACCCCTGAATCTAAAACCATTAATTAGATCGACCCATTCATGAGTTTTGGAGGGAACATTCAAACCATAGCATTCTGCCCCCAAGACTCATGTCCTTATCATGTACAAATACATTCCTACAAACCCCATGCTCCCAAAGTCTTAACTTGTTCCAGCAGCAACTCAAAAGTCAGAGTCTTATCTATGAGCCTGTGAAAGCAAAACAAGTTCTCTACTTCCGACATACAGCAGTGGAACCAGTTGAGACGTTCCCACTGGAAAACGAGAACAGGCAAAAAGAGAGGAGTGGAGGCTCCAAGCAAGCCCCCACCCCACAGGGCTGACGTGACCCTAAATTCAGGGAATGGGCTCTTCCAACAGCACCTGCTACCTCCGGACACACGGGCTGGGGGTTGGGCCTCCCCAACAGCTTTGCTGGGTGCAGCCCACGTGGCTGCTCTTCCAGGTTGGAGTCTGGTGCCTGAAGCTTCCCGAGCTGCCAGTGACTCCACAGCTCTGGGGTCCTGGTGGGGGTCCTGTTCCCGTGGCTGCACTAGGCTTTGTTCTGCTGGGGCTGTCTGTGGTGGCTCCATCCCTGGGACGAGTCTCTGCCCGGGCCCCCAGACTTTCAATGGCATCCTTTGAAATCTGGATGGAGGCTGCCAAGTCTCCATCTTGCTCTCTGCAAGCTTATGGAATCAGTGCCACGTGGCCGTGGCCAATGCTATGTCCACATCTTGAGCTGTGGGTCTATCTGCACTGGAGCTGCCTGAGCCACCGCTGGGGCTGCCATGGACAGCTGCACTGGAATTTAGGGAGCACGGTCCTCAGCAGGCCTGGGGCAGGGAGCCTGTGGACGGCACCTCTGGCCCATCCGCCAGAGCAGTTCTGCCCTCCATGGCCTCCAGGCTGGCAACAGGAGGGCGGCCTTGAAGATCTCTGAAATGCCTTCTGGGTGTTTCTTCCACTGCCTTGAAGAACAGCACCCAGCCCCTTCTCTCCGTACGGACTTTTGGTGAATGGAGGAGCCTTGGCTCCTCTCCTGGAACCTCCTCTCCTGGGCACACCTTTCACTCTTTACATGGCCAGGCTAAGAGCTTCCAGATCCTTCCACTCACTTTTCTTTTGATGATAAATTCCATCTCCGAGTTATTTTTCCCTTTTGCGGCTCAGTGTAGTGGCTGGAAGTAGCCACGCAGCGGCCTAATTCTTTGCTGCCTGGATATTCATTCTACCGGACACCCTTGTTCACCACTATCAAGTTCAGCTTTTGACAAAGCTGTTCCACATGGACAGTTCAGCCAAGGTCTTTGCTAATTTATGACGAGGCTGGCCTTTATTCTAGGTTTTAATACCTTGCTCCGCAGTTCCATCTGAAATCTCATCAGAATGGCCTTTCCGGTCCATATTTCTATCAGCGTCCCGGTCACGACCACTTAACAGATCTCTAAAGAGTTCCAAACTTTCCCTTGTCATCTTGTCTTCCAGGCAGGCCCTCACCAGAATCACCCTCAATGATCCATTTACAGACATACCGGGTTTTTAAAAGCCTTCTCCTCCAAATGCTTTCAGCCTCCACTTATTACTCAGTTCCAAAGCTGCTTCCATATGTTCAAGTATTCATTATTGTCAACCACCCTGCTCCTGGTACCAATTTTCTTAGTCCATTTCCAGTTGTTTATAATAGAATATCTGAAACTGAATAATTTGTAAAGAAAAGGAGACTATTTCTTACAATTCTGGAGGCTGAGAAGTCCAAGGTCAAAGGGCCGCATCTGGTGAGGACCTTCTTGCAGGTGGGGTCTCTGTAGAGTCCCGAGGTGGCCCAGGATGCCACACGGTGAGGGGGCTGTGTTAGCCCAGGTCTTTTCCTCTTCTCATAAAGACATCAGCCCACTCCCGTGATAACTATAATCCATTAACTTATTAGTCAGCAAACGGGCTGATCTATTCATGAACCCTCATGACCCAGTTACCTCATACAGGCCCCACCTCTCAATACTGCCACCTTGGGCATTGTTTAAACACGAGGTTCAAGGGGGACAAACGTTCAAATCATAGCACCCTTGCTTTGTCTTTTCCAATTTCCCCCTCAGACGGGGTCTTTTCTTCAGTCCGTTTCTCAGTCACAGATTCAACCTTGGGCTGCATTCACTTTTCCCTGAAACCCCCAAATTGAGCCCTTCATTTAGGAGAGCACATATGGGATGCTGCGGGGGACACTATGTCCTGGAGGCTGCATCCTCTCCAGGCACCACAAGACCACAGTTGATTTCACTGCCTTCCAGAAGCTTCCAGGGGAACAACCCTAAGGCCCAGGACCTGCTGGGCGTTCCCAGGGCACCGTGGGGCTCTGCTCTCAGTGGGCATCCCCAGGGTGCTGTAAGGCTCTGCTCTCGGTGGGCGTCCCCAGGGTGCTGTAAGGCTCTGCTCTCGGTGGGCATCCCCAGGGTGCTGTAAGGCTCTGCTCTCGGTGGGCATCCCCAGGGTGCTGTAAGGCTCTGCTCTCGGTGGGCGTTCCCAGGGCGCTGTAAGGTTCTGGCCTCGGTGGGCGGTCCCAGGGTGCCGTGGGGCTCTGGCCTCAGTGGGCAGTCCCAGGGTGCTGTGGGGCTCTGCTCTCGGTGGGCGTCCCCACGGTGCTGTGGGGCTCTGGTCTCGGTGGGCGTTCCCAGGGTGCTGTGGGGCTCTGGCCTCGGTGGGTGGTCCCAGGGCGCCGTGGAGCTGCTCCCAGCTGCAGCACAGTGACCTCTCCCCTCCTGGCTCCAGGCTTGCTCCTTCTCCTCTTCGCAGAGCCTCTGTTGACACCAGTCCCAGCCGATTTCCGAATTGCCCAGTGGCCCCGGGATGGAGAGTGAGGGTTGACTCACTGCAGCAGATGCTCTCAGTGCAAAAATTTTAGTTTAGCAAGTTCTCATTACTTCCATGGCTGATAACTTTACAAATATGAGGCTCCACCATTCACCGGCCTTTCCCGAGGATGTTCCAGTGGGCCTGCTGTGGCCTATGACGTTCCCCAGCCCGACTGCAATGAGTCTGTGCCTGGCTGAGAGTCGGTGCAGCTTTTCCATGAGAATTCCTGAAACAGCAGGGCCTGAGGGGTGGTGACCCCCATCGTGGTGACTGACGGCTCCCATGTGCCAAGCCCCAGGCCAGCTCCTGGCCCTGCACTCAGTCCTGCATACACACTGGTGTCCTTGGTCCCCAAAGCTCCTATGGGGTGATCTCTGCCTGGTCTGCAGCCATGGGGGAGGGAGAGCCATGACTCCCATGCCCAGCTTACCCACAGCAGGTGCTCTGGTGCCAGCCTGGCTGCTCACTCCTCACCTGTCCAGTAAGTGCTGCCTGGGGCAGCCCATTTTTTTTGAGATGGGGTCTCACTATGTTGGTCAGACTGGGCGTCAGTGGCTATTCACAGGCACTATCATGGCTCACTGCAGCCTCGAACTCCTGGGCTCAAGTGATTCTCCCGCCTCAGCCTCCTGAGTAGCTGGGACTATAGGTGCATGCCCCATGCCCAGTTTAGACCACAGGCACGCACCCCTGCACTCAGCTTACACCACAAGTGCTGCCCACATGCCCAGCTTGGACCACAGGCGCCCCCGCATGCCCAGCTTAGACCACAGGCGCCCCCCAACACCCGGCTTAGCCCATTTTCATTCCTGCTTGCCATGCACACCCTCCTGGACCCAGCTCAGCTCCGGCAGGGCCATGAGCATCAGCGTCTTCCTCCAGACGCAGGGCCAGCCTGTGCCACCTTCTCCTGTCCTCAGGCCTGGGCTGGGCCTGCAGGCCTCTTACCTCCGCCCTCCATCCTCTCAGCTTCAGAAAGACGGCAGCTTTCCAGGTTTCAACCTCTGGGTTGAGTCACTGGTTCTCACCCGGGGCTGTGTTATTCCCACTGGCGATGTCTGCAGACATCTCTGGATGTCACAATGGCAGGGGTGCTCCTGCCACCCAGTGGCAGATGCTGCCCCCATCCCACCCTCACCAGCAAAGCACTGTCTCCCAAACAGCCCTGGACAAGGGGATATTTGGTCAGGTCCACCCCAGCGAGAGGACCAGGGAGGCAGCCACGCAGCTGAAGGAGGAAGGGGCCCCATCAGGCCACACTTGTCTGTTTCCCACAATTCAAGAAACGTCGTCAAGTCTTTTTTCTTTAAATACTGCCATTCGCACCTGCTAATCCCAATAAAAGGTGCCATTAGCTATCCTGCTCTACAGAAATGTTTCTCAAGATTAAACCCTCAGACCTGACCAAGGTGTAAAATATTTCCTTAAACAGAGGCAGGGAACGTGCAGCTCTGATCCACATGAGGCCCACGGGGCACTGCTGGCCCGTCTGCTGGTCAGCTCTTGGCTGCAGGCCTGGCTGTGCGTTTGTAGTTGTGACCTCACCAACCTCACTGCACCCACCAGGTGGGCCGTAACTACCCCCACAAGGGCCAGGGGGACACTGAGGCTTGGAGAGGCCGGGCGAAGGCGCACATGGCTGGGGGCACGGGGAGGGATGGCTCATGAGCTGGGGGTGAGCAAGGCTGCCCTCACTCAAGCATGGGACTGTGCGGCTGTGGTGTCTGTCCACAGAGCTCCAGAGCTGGGGGCAGGTTCAGCGGCATCCCTGCCCGCTTACCTTGGACACGGCAGCCAGCCTCTGCTCCACACTGGCACCCAGGCTGGTGGTGGTCCTGTCTTGGCACCGGAGCTGGTGCTGTAGCTGCAGCAGGGCCGCCAGCTGTGAGCTGCTGGTGTTGGCCGTGGCTGCAAGCAGGACACCCCTCATTGTCTCCGAGGCCGAGCAGCTCTGAAAGGGAGCAGGGGAGGTTTGCCAGGGGCCCAAGGCCTGGGTGGGGAGGGCTTGCACCCTGCGAAGGGCGTGCAGTGGCTGCAGCCTGGGAGCAGGAATCGGCTCCCCTGGGATGCTGGCTCCTCCTGGCACCTGGAGAGTTGCATGAGGCCACGCTTGTTCCCTCTGTGGGACCTCTGTGAGGTCCGCATGGACAGGGCCCTACTGGTCTGTGACTGCCAGGTCTCCATGTTTGCCTGATGCAGGGGTTCGGGGATAAGCACACGAATGCGTGTTCTCTCTGAGCCACAAGTTTACGTGGTCAGCAGGTTCCCACTGCTTGAGGACCCCGGCCTGTGGCTTGTTTCTCTAACGACGTCCCCCCCAAGGCGAGGGCCCCAGCTGAAGCCCAGGGTCCTCCCTCCTCTGTGAAGGTCTGGCTGGAGGTGCGTGGGGCAAAGACACACCTGAGACAGAGCCAGGAACTGGCAGGTAGTTGCAGGGTCCAGGGTGCCGACGCATTCCACCATCTCCAGGCTGGCGGCTGCTGCGACATCCAGGAGGCCACTGCCAAGGGCCACCTGTAGGCACTGCAGCAGCACCTCTGATGCCTGAGCCAGGTACTGCTGGGCCAGAACCATCCTCCCCTGTGGGGCACAAGGCTCGGGCTCAGGCCGGGCTCCGGGCAGAGGCCACACGAGGCTTGGGAGGGGCAGCCGCACCTTCAGGTCCTCGCCTTTCCTGCCGTGCTCCTCTGGGGCCGCCCTGGAGGCCAGCGGGTCCCTGCTGGACTTTGTGGCACCCTCTTCCTCTACCTCCAGCTCCAGAGACTTGAGGCTGCTCAGCTTGGCGCCCACCTGTGAGACACACAGCAGGTTGGCTGGCACTTCTGGGTTCCTGCTTGGTCAGTGTGGGCAGGGCCCACCCAGGGAGGCTGGGGTGGTCGGGCTCCTCAGCAGGGTCCCTGGATGGCGGGCACTGCAGGCTGCAGCGTGGCCTCTCACTGTCCCAAACCTTCCACCCCTGAGTAGATGCACGGTGGCCCTGAACCGCGAGCCTGGATGAGGGGACGTTGCAGCCAGGGTGAGAATGCAGCCCCCCCAAGGAAGCCGGCCTGAGTCACACGGGCCTGGAATCCAACACATTCCCAGGGGACTCCCATTCCTGTCCTTTGGAGACACCTTTCCTGGAACCAGCCGGCACCGAGGCCGAGGCATCCACTGGCCCTCGGGGGCCCCTGGTCTGGCCAGGACACAAGCTCCAACCTGGGGATAGGAAGCCCAGGCAGCCCCTGAAGAACTGGGTTGAGAGGGAGCCCCCTGGGTTTTCAGGTCACGAGGTATCGCAGTGCCAAATCTGTGTATGCACCCATTGATTAGGCGTCAAAGCAAAGAAAACATTGATAGAAATTGAGTGATGGAGAAGCCCCCGGTTCTAGCAGGCTGCCCGAATGCAGCTGAAAACCAGCAAGCACGCCGGAGGCAGTGCAGCCGTGACCACCTGACCTGCACACGGCCTGGCCCCTTTCACATTGGAACACGCCGTTCAGGCATGTGCAGGATGTTCACCAAAACCGCCCAGGCTGGGCCACATGCAGCCACTGCAGAGTCCCCAGGACCAAGACCACTCAGGGTGTGTTTTCAACCACAACAACATTCAACAACTGGAAGTCAGTCGCGAAAACAGACCCGTGAGAAACACAGTCACCTTGAAATTAAACAAGATACAATCATCAAGTCAGTCAAAGAAGAAATTGCAATAGAATTTATAAAATGGACTTAGAGAATGAAAATACTGAGGGAAGAGAAAAGGAAAAGTCAGTGAGGCTGACAGCCAAGGCTGGTCCTTGGAGAAACAGCCTGAAATGTCACTGCCACAGGCACAGAGGGCCGCTGGGCAAAACCAAACTGCAGCATACCGGTGAGCAGGAGGGGCCCAGCAGAGAAGCCTCCGTTCTCCAGGTCGTCAGCCGGCTCCGGGAAATGTTTCCTCCCCTTTCCAGACATGAACACTGTGGGCTCCGAGGGAGCCTGTGTGGGTTGTGGGAGGGGTGGGGGCTTATCCAACGCACCCACAGCTGCACAAACAAGAGAGGCTGTGCTTTGTGCTCCTTAAGGACATGCCCACAGCGGCACAGATAAGGAAGCCACAAGAACAGCAAAAGAGAAGAGCACACTTTCTCATCAGAGCGTTCGGATTCAACTGTGAAAACGGCCACCCACTGGGGCCCTCTCTGCTGCAGAGCTTTCTTCCTTCACTTACTAAACTTTTGCTGCAACCTCCCCATGTCCACGCCCCTTAATTTTCTGGGTTGTGAGACAATGAACAACGAGCTCGGATAACACCTTAGACAATGTGGTCAGCAACCCTAGACCGTGTCAATCCTACGTATCAAAATCTGGGAGACTGAAATGGGGGTTAGAGGAAAAATACAGCCTTGAATACAAGAAAAAAGCCAGAAAAACCTTGATTTAAGCTTTGATTTCAAGAAGCTGGACAACAACATAAATCACATCTAAGGACAGCAAAAGGCAGGTACGTCCGGGCCTGGCCTGCATGGGGCGGGGGCCGCGGAAGACCCCTGTGTGCTCCACATGGGACTTGATGTCTGCTCTGCCCGGGCCCCTCCTCGCTGGGGAACCATCAGTAGCGTTCACGGATGAGGACGCCAGCGCCCAGGCGGCCATGCCGACCCTCGTTTCTGGTCCACGCCCAGCTGCTACCCGAGCAGGTCAATGGAGGCTGGTTGCACCGAGAGCCACAACTCCATCCATTCACTTGAGGTACGTCAAGTCCTGTGCTCGGTCCTGAAGACGCAGGACAGACAGCATCTCAGGGCAGACCCAGGGCTGCACGGCACCTGGTGGGGGAATGGCCCTGGGCGTGGAGCCAGGTACACACAGCGTGGTTGCTCCGGTCACTGAGCGCATCTTCCTGAGGAGCTGGTGTGTGGGGACAAGCCCAGGTTCTCCGCTGGGGCAGGTGCACAAGTGTTTAGGAAGGTGACTTGAGGCTTTCAGGGCTTACTGGGGCCGTCACCAGGGTCGTGAGGCAGTAGGTCACTCCTGCAGCTGACTCGGCCCTGCCGGGCAGCCTTGCAGCCTTCTGGAGAAGGGTGGGCCCTGGCCTGAGGGTGAAGAAGGTCCCAACTGCCCTTCTCGGAGCCACCTAGGCGCTGAGGCAGCAGCCTCCCTGGGCTGTAGGGGGTAGGGGATGGAGGGGAGCCAAGGCTGCCCAGGGCTGGCCCTGCTGTGCTCTGGCATGGGTGCCACGGTGCCCAGTGCTCAGGCCCACCCTAGGCTGCTCCTGCAGCTTCTGAGCTCCCCAGGTCCCTGCTCCAGGCCCAGCCAGAGCCGCTGCTGCGGGAGACACCAGTTGCATTGTTCCGCGCTTGCCAGTGCAGCTTCTGTGCTCTCCAGGTCCCTGCTCCAGGCCCGGCCAGAGCCACTGCTGCGGGAGACACCAGTTGCGTTGTTCCGCGCGCGCCAGTGCAGGGCTGGATTGGGGCAGGCTGTGTGCGGGGGTGGGCTCCATGCTGGTGTGGGTCGACCCACACGCCCGCCTTCCCTCCCTGCCCGTCTGCCATCCCTGCCTACTCTGCAGACGCTGTGGTTCCCTCCCAGGTCTGTTCCGGAAGGCCTGTGTTTCACCAGCCCCATTTCTTCCCTCACACCTGCTTCCTACATTTTTCTCTCTTCCTGGGGCCATGCCCTTCTGCACAGAGGATGACACAATTCGTCTGCTATCATCAGGGGAGTCCTAAATACTTTGCTTGTGTTTTTAGGCAGGGGTGACAGGTGTCGGAGTGACTTGGGATAGAAGCGGGAGCACTTACCGAGGGGCCCTCCTCCCAGTAGCAGGCAGGGCGCACAGGGTCAGCTTGCATGGCCAGCAGGTGGAGGGCCCTCCCGGCCAGGCCCAGGAGCCGGGCGCGGATCTGCACACAGCCCACACTCAGCGGCTGCAGGCTCCCCAGCTGCGCCAGTGCCTCGTGTGCCAGAGTCCGCTTCAGCGTGAACCATTGCTTCGAAAAGACAGACACGTGACAGCTGCCACCCCAAGGGCGGCCGCCCCCCCCCCCGCCCAGGGGACCCAGTGAGCCTGCCCCTGGTGTCCTCTGTGGGTGGGGACACTGGCAGCTCTGAGAAACACCCCTGCCCCGCAGGGTGCTGCCCGCGCAGGGAGGGTCTCGGGGCTCTGGTGTGGGGTCACAGACGTCTGCTCATATAACCTTAATTCAGCGCTCACTGACAAATCAATTTTAGGCCCGTCTTTGGTTCACTTATACTTATGTAAATTAATTTGAGTCGTATTTCATGATGTCTAAGAAAATGTAAAATGGAAGAATGTACATTTCCCTCAAAACATTCTACATATTCAGCTGTTTTGAGTATGTCATCAACTGGACTCCATTCAACGAAAACGGAGTCCACCTCTATTGACTCTTTAATCCCCATATGAATTAATTGTTAATATGAATTAATTAGTCAAAGCCAATTCATGAGTCGGGAAGGGCAGCTGCGAGTCACGTAGGAAACGCCGCCGCAATGGAACCTGCATTTTATGAGCCAATTCAGTCCCCTCAAAGGGTGAGACAACGCCCTTCTTCTGCAAGGCCCGGGAGCTCCCCCTGCTGCAAGAGGCCCCCGCAGGGAGGGCGCTCAGATCCCCCAGCCCATCCGCACCGCCAGGCGTGCGGTGATGGAGACGCCTCCTGCTGGAACGGGGCCCCTCAGCTGCACTGTGGCCTGGTGCTCCCCGCACAGGGAATCTGCGACCCCAGCAATTACCAGCCCGACGGAAGTGCAGTCACTGGTGTTCTGCAGATAGTCTGCCAGCAGCTTCTCCAGGGACCCCTGCCCACTCTGCTGCCCGCGGGCCTCCTCCCAGATGAACTGGAGCATGTCCAGAGCCATTTCCACGAGGCTGAGCTTGAGGCGCGCCAGCTTCCTCATCAGGGGCGTGTTGACGTTCTGCAACTGAGGGGCCAGGCGTGCATCTGAAGCACGGAAGCTTCTGGTAAGCCTGACTCTGCATCCCCACGGCTTGGACGAGGCATAACTGACATAAGAAACTCAAAATAAACTGCACAGCTCTACAGTGAAAAACTGACACACTTGGATCACGAATACACCCGTGAAACCATCACCGCCTTCGAGATCATGCAGTAGCCCTCACCCCCAAATCTCTTCGTGCCCCGTCGTGTCCCTCCCGGTCACCTAGCTGCCTGCTGGCACCCTGCATTCATCTGCATTTTCCAGAACTGTACCTACGCGGAAGTGCACCGCGTGCAGTCTTCTATCTGGTTCATTTCCCTCGGTGAAGTCACCGTGAGATCCCCCATGCAGCTGCACCCATGCTCCGTCCCTCACAGCCGGTGTCAGTGCACCGTGCGGACGGGCCACACTCTGCTTATCTATTCAAATATTGTATTTCCAGTTCTGGGGCTACGACGAGTAAAGCTGCTGCGAACACCCATGTGCAAGTGAACACACGGGAGTGGAAAGGCTGGGTCCTGGGTGAGCCTGTGTGTAATTCTTAGGAAACAGCCGAACTGCCTTCTGCAGCAGCTGTGCCACTGGCGCTTAGGGCCCAGGTCTCTCCACACCCTTCCCGACATCTGCTGTGGTTGGTCTTTTACATTGTAGCTGTTTTAAGAGGTGGGTGGTGGTTTCTTACGATGGTTACAATTTGCGAGTCGCTAGCTGGCTAATGATACTCTCTTTGCATGTGCTTATTTACCATCCACATATTTGCTTTGGGGGAAGTGTCAGTTAAAATATTTTGCTCATGTTTTACTGGGTTTTTGTTAATTTTGAGAGTTCTTTATCCATTCTGGATACGATATCTTAGACAGAGGATTTGTAAATGTTTCCTCCCTGTCCGTGGCTTCTTTTCCTTCTCTTCATACTGTCTTTTGAAGAGAGGTCCAAGCTATCACTTTATTACTTTATAGCTCATACTTTAGGTGTCATAAATAAGAAATCTTTGCCAAACCTGAGGTCACACATCTATTTTCCTATGTGTTCTTCTAGAAGCTTCATGGGTTTAGCCCTTATATTTAGGTCTACAATCTATGTGGAGTTAATTTTTACACATGGTGTGAGGCGTTAGGTAAAGTGGGCTGTTTTGGAAGTGGATAATCCTTTCTTTGGCGAGCCGCCTTTGTGTCTCTGCTGAAGGTCACCTTCCTGTGCGTGTGGGGTCCCCGCCTGGATTCCGCTCTGTTCCGCATGTCGACTTTTACACGAGAGCCACACCGTCTGGATTCCCGCACCTCTCTGTACTAGGCCTTAAAATCAGGCGGCGTCAGACCCTCCAATTTCGTTCTTCTTTTTCAAAGCTGTGTTGGCCATGTTAGGTCTTTTGTATTCTCATATGAGTTTTAAAGTCATTTTGTCATTTTCTCCAAAAAAAGCCTGCAGTGATCTTGATCAGGGGTATAGACGATTTAGGGCAAATCAAGAACTTAACAGTACTAAGTGCTCTGATCCACAAACATGGTATGTTTCTTCGCCTACTTAGGTTTTCCCAGCTATTTCTCAGTTATATTTGTAGTTCTCAGAGTACAAGTCTTTATTTACATTTTTGGGACAAATTTCATTTTTAAATGCCGTCATAAAATTGTTTTAACATTTTTAATATCTGAGTGTTTCCAGCATGTAGAAATACACAACTGATATCTGCATATTGTTCTTATATCCTGCAACCTTACTAAACTCAGTATTAGCAGCTTTATTTTTTGGTGGATTGCATATGACTGTGTATACAGACAATTTTGTTATCTGTGAACAAAAACAGTTTCATTCCTTCCTTTCCAATCTGGATGCTTTTAATTTCCTTTTTTCCTGCCTGACTGCATAGGCAGGAACTCCCACATCAACACGGAACACGGGTGAGAAGAGGGCACCTCCTCGTCTTCATCCTTATCGAAAGGGGCATCGGTCTTTCTCCCATAACTGTGACGTTAGCTCTGGCTTTTTCATAGATGTCCTTTATCAGACTGAGGAAGTTTTCCTCTATTGTTTGCTAGGAGTGTTTACCAGGAATGGGTGTTGAATTTTGTCAAACGTTTTTCCTGCATCCACAAAGATGATCATATGGTTTTGTTAGTTTTGAAAATAAATGGTGAAGCAAATTAATTTTTGAATGTTAAACTATTCTTGGGGTAGTCTTGGCTTGGTTATGATGTATTATCCTTTTTAAATACTGTTGGATTTAATTTGCTAACATTTTGTTCACAAGGAATGCTGGTCAGTAGCTTTTTGTTGTTGTTGTTGTTAATGTCTTTATCTTGTTTTGGTATCAAGGTAATATTTGCATCATAGAAAAACTGGGACGTATTCTCTCCTTCTCAATTTTCTAGAACAATTTGTGTAGAACTGGTATTATTTTTTCTTAGATACTTGGCAGAATTCACTAGTCAAGCCATCTGGGCTTGACATTTTCTTTTTGAGAATGCTTTTAATTACAAATTAAAAATTTAAAATATATAGGGCTACTCAGGCTTTCTTTTTGAGTGGGCTTTGGTAGTTCATGCTTTCAAGGAATTTTTCCATTTCATCTAAGTTGGCAAATATATTAGCATAAAGTTGTTTGTAATATGATCCCCTTATTATCCTTTCAATATCTGTAGAATCCACGGAGAAATTGCGTCTCTCATTCCTGATATTGGCAATTTATGTCGTCTTTTTTTTTCTGATCCGTCCGACTAGAAGTTTTTCAATTTACCAATCTTTTCAAAGAACTAGCTTTGGTTTCATTACTTTCCTCTTTTATTTTTCTGTTTTCTGTTTCACTGATTGATTGCCACTCTGATCTTTAATTTTTATTCCTCTGCTTATTTGGGAACTGAGTTTGCTCTCTTCATACTTTTTTAAGTTGCAGGCTGAAGTAATTGATTTGAATCTTTTCCCATTTCTCCTACAGGTGTTTAGTGCTGTAAATTTCTATCTCAGTATTGCATTGGCAACATCTTAAACATTTTGATAGGTGTTTTTTTAATTCCCTTCAGTTCAAAATACATTCTCCTTTGGTTTCTTCTGTGGCCCACAGTTATTGCAACGTTTGCTATTTACTTTTCAAATCTTTGGCATTTCGCACATACATAGCTGTTTTTTTGTTTTGTTTTTTGTTTTTTGGTTTTTTTTTGAGACGGAGTCTTGCTCTATCACCCAGGCTGGAGTGCAGTGGCGCAATCTCAGCTCACTGCAAGCTCCGCCTCCCGGGTTCACGCCATTCTCTTGCCTCAGCCTCCCGAGTAGCTGGGACTACAGGCACCCGCCACCACACCCGGCTAATTTTTTGTATTTTTTTTTTAGTAGAGACGGGGTTTCACCGTGTTAGCCAGGATGGTCTCGATCTCCTGCCCTCGTGATCCGCCCGCCTAGGCCTCCCAAAGTGCTGGGATTACAGGCATGAGCCACCGTGCCTGGCCAGCTTTCTGTTTTTTTTAAAGTGAGGTAAAAGTCACATAGCATAAAATTAACCATTTAAAAATATACAACTCAGTGGCACTTACACATTCACAACATTGTGCCACCATCATCTCTAATTCCACAACATTTTCATCACTCCAAAAGGAAACCCCTCACCCATTAAAAAATCATCCCTCATCCTCCTTGCCCTGTTTTCTACGGATTTATCTATCTTTCTGTTTCTGATTTCTAATTTAGATTGTGGCACCAGTATACATTTTGTATAACTTACATCTTTTAAATTTATTGAGACTTGTTTTATGGTCCAAAATACGGTCCATCTTGAAACATATTCACACAAAGCGCATCTTATTCTCCTGTTGTTGGGTGAACGTTCTAGAAATATCTTTAGGTCATAGTGGTTGGTAGTGTTGGTGTGAATCTTCTAGTGATTTGCTGATTTTCTGGCTCTTTGTTCCATTAATCCTGAGGGGTACTGAAATCTGACTGCAAGTGTGGGGTTGTCTATTTCTCCATTGCAATTTTGTCAGTTTTTGCTTCATTGACTGCGAAACTCCGTTATTAGCTACAGAAATGTTTGCACTTCTAGCCTCTTGACTGGTTGTGCTGTTTGCACTATAAAATGAGTTTCTTTATCCTTGGTAATATTCTTTTTTCCAAAGTCGGCTTAGTTATTAATATAGCCACCACAGCTTTCTTTTCATTAGTGTTAGCTGGTATATTTTTTCCATTCTCCTTTATGTCTTAATATTTAAAGTGGCCTTCTTGTAGGTAACCCATAGTTGGGTTTTGCTTTTTTATATAATCTGACAAATTCTTTTAACTGAGGGCGTTTTGATTATTTAAATTTCATGTGATTATTCCATGATTAGGTCTAAGGTTATCATCTTGCTGTTTATTTTCTGTTGGTCTCACCTGTCCTTTATTATTTTTCTTTTTTCTGCTTTCATGGGGGACAAATGAATACTTGTTATGATTTCCGTGTATCTCCTTTCTTAGCTCATGCAGCACACATCTGTATTCCGGGACTTCTGTGGCTGTTGTGGTGTGTAGAGAGTATGATGCTCCGGGACTTCGGTGCCGGTGGCTGTTGTGGTGTGTAGAAGTATGATGCTCGGGACTTCGGTGGCTGTTGTGGTGTGTAGAAAGTATGATGCTCGGGACTTGGTGGCTGCTGTTGTGGTGTGTAGAGAGTATGATGCCACTTCCGCATGAAACATGGAAGCCTCGCATCCGTGCAGCCTCCCAGTCTTTGCCATTGTTGTCGTACGTCTCATTTTACTGTTATGGGCCCCATGCTACATTGTTATTGTTTAAGCAGCCAGTTATCTTTCCAAGTGATTTTAGAATAAGAAAGATTGGACACACTTTCCCCTGAAGTTTACGTGTTTGAGGCTCTCCACGCACCTGTGTGGATCCACACTTCAGTGGGCATGGCTTCCTTTCTGCCTGCTGCGGGACTGACTCAAGAGCTCCTGCAGGGCGCAGGCCCCTGAGGACGCCCAACTTCCTTCGGCTCTCAGTGTTTGCAGAAACTTATCTTTCTCACCTTCATTAAGGGAATCGTATTTTCTGGGTATAGAATTCCAGGTTGGCAGTGTTACCTCTTGGCCTTCACAGAGGTCCCTGCACCGGGCTCTCAGCTACACCGCTTCTGTGGGGAAATGCCGCCATTCACCTCTGTCACTCTGCACCGCGTGCAGTGCTCTCTGTCTGATGCTCAGATGCTCTTCTTATCAGTGGTGTTAAACCATCTGGTTATGGTGTGCTAAGCATAGTTTCATTCCTCTTCATAGTTCTTGTGTGTAGGATTCATTCAGCTTCTTGGATCTGTGGGTTTGTATTTATTTTTTATCAGAATTTGGAAAATGTTCAGTCATTAGTTAATAGTCAAATTATTCTCTGCTTATTCTACTTTCTCCTCTTCTCCAGTTCAAATTACACCTATATTCATGCACTTAAACTGTATGACTTTAATTTTTGTTCTCTTTAATTTCATTTTCAAAAGTTTCTGTTGCTATGTCTCTAAGTTCTCCAATGTTTTCTCCTGCCATCGTTGTCATTCACTCCACCTGGTGGCTTCTTCATCTCCCGTGTTTATGGTTTCACCTGAAAGTTTGGGTTTGTCTTCCTTTTATATCTTCCATACATTTCTACTTAACTTTCTGAACATATAGAATACAGTATAACTTGTCTTCCAATTATAATATCTATTCCACTGATCAATTTGTTTTTGCTTGATCAATTATTCTCCTATTTTCCACCTTTTTCTATACAGCAATATTTTATTGGTTGCCAGACATTTGGGCTTTGTTTCCCTCTGGGCTCTGGTGGGCATTTCTGCATTTCTGTGTGTGTTCTTCAGGCTTGGGCTCTGTTCCAGGACAGCTGTCTTCTCAGAGGAAATAGTTGGGTCCTTTCAGGCCTGCTTTCTAGGGTCTCTCAGGCAGGTCTGGGTGGGGCTACCAGGCCTAAGGACCCTGACTGAAGCAAGGCCCTGTGTCTACTTTGCCCGTTCCCCAGGGATCATGGGGTTTCCAATCCTGGCTGGTGAAGCAGGTGCTGCTCCGCCTAGAACCCTTTTGGTGGCTCTTCCCCAGCATGGGGCGGCTTCCTCTCAAGTGTGCTCATCAGCCTGGGCAGGACACTCCAGGCCTCTCCCGAGAAGGTCTTGGGGTTTTCTCTCTGTGCAGCCCTCCTGCCTCCCTCCCGGGGCTCTGTCCCTAGCGGCAGTGCTGGCTCTCCGCAGGCTCTGGCTCCATCTGTGACTCAGGTCACAGAGAGGACTCCACTGGAGCCACCGCAGTGAGCTTGGACAGCAGCTTGGGGACCACTGCCTGTCACTGCTGACGTCTAGTGTTCTGAAAGTCCTTGTTTCATACAGTTTGTGTTTTTGTTGTTTCAGATAGCAAAGTGTCTGGTCCTGTCACTCCATTTCCAGCTAGAAGCCCAGAAGTCAGCTGGCAGGTAAGTTACAGTGGGGTTTATATCCCGGTGGGAGTGACCCAGTGTACACAGGAACCAGGACACCTGCTTACGTCTTGAAGTGACAGTAGGCCCTGGACGCTGTGGAGCCTCACTTCCTCCTCAACCACGGCGCCCTGGGCCAGGCCATATGCTTCCAAGTAATACGCAGTTTTTTGTTCTTCATCTTCCTCTCGTTCTGGGCATGTAGCACATAAGACATAAGAATGGAATTTGGAACAAAAATGTTCAAACATTATGTTATTATTACTAAATGTTTAATATGTCATTTTCTGTCATTATACTGTATATTTTATTAGTGCTTAAAATGATGTTTTAAAATAGCTAACATGTAAGGACATTCTCGATATGTCTTAGAGGTTTAAGAAGCTGGAATAATGCAGTATGTACAGCGTATTATAGTTTATGAAATTTAAATCTGCACTTGAAGGGGAGATTTACGCGGAAGCAGATCCACAGCATCAGCTTTACCCAGCGGGCTAGGTTTGGTCAGATAACTCAACTTCCGCCGGGATCGCGTCTGGCATCCACAGTGTGAACCTGACTCAGAGTCCAGACCTTGTGGTGGCTACACCTTCCCGCACAGGCTTCTGCACACCTGCCTGGGCCGCTGTGTGAGGCAGCTTGCGTGTGTGGACAAATGGGGGCAGCCCCAGGTTGGGGGGCAGGGCAGTGGGCCCGGGGCCAGGGAGGCTTTGCCAGGGCAGGGCGGCTGGAAGCTGCTGTGGTGGGGGCTGGCATCAGGACTGTGTAGGCCCTGCCCTTGGGGAAGCAACCCTGAGATGCCGCCTGGCTTAAGACTGCAGAGCCATGCAGAGCGAGACCGCTCTCATAGAGTCTCGGGGCCCTGCAAGCTGGCTCAGGCCAATAGCAGGATATGCGTGTGTGACCTGGGCCTGGGCACGTGTACAACGCGTGTGTACCTGTTGCTGGTGGGGGTGGGTGGTGCTGTATGTCTGTGCATGTCTGCCAAGGGCTGGAGGTGCAAGGCCCAATGTGGGTGCCCTCGAGGGAGGTGTGGGCAGCCACAGGCTAGGGGCCGAAAGGAGGCCCTGTCAGGGGCCGCGGGGGCTCCCGGCGGGAAGGCTGGGCATGTAGTCAGAACGTGTGGGTGAGGGCGCGGCCGGGGAGCTTCCCAGGAGGGCCTGTGGACCCCAAAGGGAGATGCAGCTGGGGTGAGCCAGGCCCAGAGGGCAGATGGCACTGGGCGTGCTGCGTGTGGGAGCTTAGTGACTCCTGTGCAGGGGTGCAGAGGCAGCCTTACCTCTTGATCTTCGCTCGCTCTAGTTTTACATCAACGCAATTCTCTTTGCCAGCCTGGTCGATAAACTTTCTCTCAATTTCCAACGAGCTATCGTCCATGTCTTTCAGCAGCAACAAGCACTCTGTGGCTTCAGTGACCGCCGACTGCTGCGCAACTCTGACCCACAGAGCTTAGGCACCTGACGGAGGACGGTTTGGGAGCCTGGAGTGCAAGCCCAGGGCAGCGTCAGGACTTGCGGCTGGGCTGCTGCTGTTCTCCGGTGTTCATCCAGGGATGCCGAAGAAAACGCTTTTGGAGCGTTTCTTGAAAATCAACACCATACGGGCCTCATTCTGTGATCTCATGTGAAAAAATCAGAAACTAACAAGCCCCACCCACCCCAGGCACCGTATCCAGGTGGAAATTCAAAACCCTCTCTCACTTGACTCACTGCGCGGAACAGAACCCAGCTGAAGCGTTGGGCTGTTCACATGCTGCAGCTGCGCGGGGCCCAGGGGCAAGGCCGGGAGGAGGTGGAGAGCACAGGAGCGGAGGCTGCCGCCCAGAGCAGCCACAGCAGGAATCCGGACTGCCCTCGCGCGGGTACAGCGTGCTCCACAAAGGCAAAGCAGAACACAAGGAAGCCCGAGTCAGACAGAAATCCGTGTTACTGGGGTCTATAAACCAAAGCCAGCTCCTTGAAAAGGTCACTGTGTTGCGACCTGTGATTCTGATTTAGAAGAGATCGTCGCCAGCCTAGCTGTATGGTGAAACCACATCTCTACTAAAAATACAAAAATTAGCTGGGCGTGTTGGCGCGTGCCTGTAATCCCAGCAACTCGGGAAGGCCTGAGGCAGGAGGATCGCTTGAACCAGGGAGCTGGAAGTTGCAGTGAGCTGAGATTGCACCACTGTACTCCAGCCTGGGCGACAGAAAGACGGCGCCGATAAACGGCAATGAGGGAGGCGTGCCTGCGGCAAGGGCTTTGGAAAGCTGTAAGAACACATGCCCTACAAATTCACGGACACACCACAAACTTAGAGGAAAGGGTTCCTAGGCCCTTCCCAAGGCCCTGGAGTTGCCTTTCGAAGCCAAGCAGACCGGGACAGCTGTGGATGGAGGCCCACTTCTCCAGAGAAAGCCTGAAGCAAGCTCAAGGAAACTTCTGGAGCTTTTCTGGAGCTGTGCAGAAAGCTGTGGATATGAGGCCCCATGACATGGGCCTCTGAACTTACACAGGCTGGAGCGTATGGCACAAAAATCGCAGATGGAAAAGAAACCCACAGCTTTCACGCTAACTGTTGTGGTGTGTAGAGAGTATGATGCTCCGGGACTTCGGTGGCTGTTGTGGTGTGTAGAGAGTATGATGCCACTTCACGCAGAGCATGGAAGCCTCGCATCCGTTACTGGCCTCCCAGTCTTTATGCCATTGTTGTCGTACGTCTCATTTTTACTGTTATGGGCCCCATGCTACATTGTTATTGTTTAAGCAGCCAGTTATCTTTCAGAGTGATTTTTAGAATAAGAAAGATTGGACACACTTTCCCCTGCAGTTTACGTGTTTGAGGCTCTCCACACTTCAGTGGGCATGGCTTCCTTCTGCCTGCGGGACTGACTCCAAGAGCTCCTGCAGGGCGCAGGCCCTGAGGACGCCTTCCTTCGGCTCTCGAGTGTTTGCAGAAACATCTTTCTCTCACCTTCATTAAGAATCGTATTTTCTGGGTATAGAATTCCAGGTTGGCAGTGTTACCTCTTGGCCTTCACAGAGGTCCCTGCACCGGGCTCTCAGCTACACCGCTTCTGTGGGAAGCTGCGCCATTCACCTCTGTCACTCTGCACACAACGTGCAGTGCTCTCTGTCTGACGCTCAGATGCTCTTCTTATCAGTGGTGTTAAACCATCTGGTTATGGTGTGCCCTGACATAGTTTCATTCCTCTTCATAGTTCTTGTGTGTGGGATTCATTCAGCTTCTTGGATCTGTGGGTTTGTATTTATTTTTATCAAATTTGGAAAATGTTCAGTCATTAGTTAGTCAAATTATTCTCTGCTTATTCTACTTTCTCCTCTTCTCCCAGGATTCCAATTACACCTATATTCATGCACTTAAAACTGTATGACTTTAATTTTTGTTCTCTTTAATTTCATTTTCAAAAGTTTCTGTTGCTATGTCTCTAAGTTCTCCAATGTTTTCTCCTGCCATCGTTGTCATTCACTCCACCTGGTGGCTTCTTCATCTCCCGTGTTGTGGTTTTCACCCTGAAAGTTTGGGTTTTGTCTTCCTTTTATATCTTCACCATTTCTACTTAACTTTCTGAACATATAGAATACAGTGATAACTTGTCTTCCAATTATAATATCTGTGCCCACTGATCAATTTGTTTTTGCTTGATCAATTATTCTCCCTATTTTCCTGCTTTTCTATACAGCAATATTTTATTGGTTGCCAGACATTTGGGCTTTGTTTCCCTCTGGGCTCTGGTGGGCATTTCTGCATTTCTGTGTGTGTTCTTCAGGCTTGGGCTCTGTTCCAGGACAGCTGTCTTCTCAGAGGAAATAGTTGGGTCCTTTCAGGCCTGCTTTCTAGGGTCTCTCAGGCAGGTCTGGAGTGGGGCTTACCAGGCCTAAGGACCCCTGACTGAGGCAAGGCCCTGTGTCTGCTTTGCCCGATGCCCCAGGGATCATGGGGTTTTCCAATCTGGCTGGTGAAGCAGGTGCTGCTCCCGCCCTAGAACCCTTTTGGGTGGCTCTTCCCCAGCATGGGGCGGCTTCCTCTCAGGAGTGTGCTCATCAGGCCTGGGCAGGACACTCCAGGGCCTCTCCCGAAGGTCTTGGGGTTTTCTCTCTGTGCAGCCCTCCCCTGCCCTCCCCTCCCCGGGGCTCTGTCCCACAAGCGGCAGTGCCTGGCTCTCCGCAGGCTCTCGGCTCCATCCTGTGACTCAGGTCACCAGAGGACTCCACTGGAGCCACCGCGGTGAGCTTGGACCTTAGCTTAGGGACCACTGCCTGTCACTGCTGACGTCTAGTGTTCTGAAAGTCCTTGTTTCATACAGTTTGTGTTTTTGTTGTTTCAGATGGCGGGAGTGTCTGGTCCCTGTCACTCCATTTCAGCTAGAAGCAGAAGTCAGCTGGCTTGTAAGGTAAGTTACAGTGGGGTTTATATCCCGGTGGGAGTGACCCAGTGTACACAGGAACCAGGACACCTGCTTACGTCTTGAAGTGACAGTAGGCCCTGGACGCTGTGGAGCCTCCCTTCCTCCTCAACCACGGCGCCCTGGGCCAGGCCATATGCTTCCAAGTAATACGCAGTTTTTTGTTCTTCATCTTCCTCGTTCTGGGCACGTAACCTTTATAAGACATAAGAATGGAATTTGGAACAAAAAATGTTAAAACATTATGTTATTATTACTAAATGTTTAATATGTCATTTTCTGTCATTATACTGTATATTTTATTAGTGCTTAAAATGATGTTTTAAAATAGCTAACATGTAAGGACATTCTCGATATGTCTTAGAGGTTTAAGAAGCTGGAATAATGCAGTATGTACAGCGTATTATGGTTATGAAATTTAAATCTGCACTTGAAGGAGATTTGCGGAAGCAATTCCACAGCATCAGCTTTACCCAGCGGGCTGGGTTTGATTGGATAACTCAGCTTCCGCCAGGACAACGTACGGCATCCACAGTGACAGACACGGCTCAGGTCAGACCTTGTGGTGGGCTACACCTTCCCCGCACAGGCTTCTGCACACCTGCACTGGGCCCGCTGTGTCGAGACGCTTGCGTGTGGACAAGTGGGGGCAGCCCCAGGTTGGGGGCAGGGCAGTGGACGGGGCCAGGGAGGCTTTGCCAGGGCAGGGGCAGCTGGAAGCTGCTGTGGTGGGGACGGCTGGCATCAGGACTGTGTGGGCCCTGCCCTTGGGGGGAGCAGCCCCTGAGATGCCGCCTGGCGCCAGGCTACAGAGCCATGCAGAGCGGGGCCATCTCCTTAGGTCAGGGCCCTGCAAGCAGCTCAGGGCTGTGCTTGGGATGTGCGTGTGTGACCTGGGCCTGGGCACGTGTGTGCAACGCGTGTGTGCCTGTTGCTGGTGGGGGTGGGTGGTGCTGTATGTCTGTGCATGTCTGCCAAGGGCTGGAGGTGCAAGGCCCAATGTGGGTGCCCTCGAGGGAGGTGTGGGCAGCCACAGGCTAGGGCCAGAAAGAGGCCCTGTCAGGGGCAACGGGGCTCCCCCGACGGGAAGGCTGGGCATGTGATCAGAACGTGTGGGTGAGGCGGCAGCCGGGAGCTTCCCAGGGGAGGGGCCTGTGGACCCCAAGGGGGTGCAGCTGGGGTGAGCCAGGCCCAGAGGGCAGGATGGCACTGGGCGTGCTGCGTGTGGGAGAAGCAGTGACTCCTGTGCAGGGGGCGCAGAGGCAGCCTTACCTCTTGATCTTCGCTCGCTCTAGTTTTACATCAACGCAATTCTCTTTGTAGCCACAGTCGATAAACTTTCTCTCAATTTCCAACAGGCTATCGTCCATGTCTTTCAGCAGCAACAAGCACTCTGTGGCTTCAGTGACCGCCGACTGCTGCGCAACTCTGACCCGCAGGCTTAGGCACCTGACGGAGGGACGGTTTGGGGCCTGGAGTCAGAAGCCCCAGGGCCGCGTCAGGACTTGCGGCTGGGCTGCTGCTGTTCTCCCCGGTGTTCATCCAGGGATGCTCGAAGAAACGCTTTTGGAGCGTTTCTTGAAAATCAACACCATACGGGCCTCATTCTATGATCTCATGTGAAAAAATCAGAAACTAACAAGCCCCACCCACCCCAGGCACCGTATCCAGGTGGAAATTCAAAAACCCTCTCCTACTTGACTCACTAGCGGAACAGAACCCACGCTGAAGCGTTGGGCTGTTCACATGCTGCAGCTGCGGGGCCCAGGGCAAGGCCGGGAGGGAGGTGGAGAGCACAGGAGCGAGGCTGCCACCCAGAGCAGCCACAGCAGGGTCCCGGACTGCCCTCGCGCAGATGCAGCGTGCTCCACAAAGACGAAGCAGAACACAAGGAAAGCCCGAGTCAGACAGAAATCCGTGTTACTGGGGTCTATAAACCAAAGCCAGCTCCTTGAAAAGGTCCACTGTGTTGGAGCCTGTGATTCTGATTTAGAAGAGATGGCGTCGCCAGCCTGGCCAACATGGTGAAACCACATCTCTACTAAAAATACAAAAATTAGCTGGGCGTGTTGGCGCGTGCCTGTAATCCCAGCAACTCGGGAGGCTGAGGCAGGAGGATCGCTTGAACCAGGGAGCTGGAAGTTGCAGTGAGCTGAGATTGCACCACTGTACTCCAGCCTGGGCGACAGAAAGACGGCGCCGATAAACGGCAATGAGGGAGGCGTGCCTGCGGCAAGGGCTTTGGAAAGCTGTAAGAACACATGCCCTACAAATTCACACGGACACACCACAAACTTAGAGGAAAAGGGTTCCTAGGCCCTTCCCAAGGCCCTGGAGTTGCCTTTCGAAGCCAAGCAGACAGGACATGTGGATGGAAGGCCCACTTCTCAGAGAAAGCCTGAAGCAAGCTCAGGAAACTTCTGGAGCTTTCTGGAGCTGTGCAGAAAGCTGTGGATATGAGGCCCCATGACATGGGCCTCTGAACTTGCACAGGCTGGACGTATGGCACAAAAATCGCAGATGGAAAAGAGGAAACCACAGCTTTCACGCTAATGAACAGTGTTTCTTACAAGGAGTTACCTGGCTTCTAGATCTGTGATCATGAATTCCAATAAAGGCAGTCGGTTTGGTCTTTCTTTCTTGAGGATCTTGAAGGCATTGATGAGCTTCTGAAATATGTGACACACCTGAGGACAGGCGGGGGTGGATACAGGCCTGAGGACAGGCGGGGACAGATACAGGCCTGAGGACAGGCAGGCGGGGACAGATACAGGCCTGAGGACAGGCAGGGACAGATACAGGCCTGAGGACAGGCGGGGGTGGATACAGGCCTGAGGACGCGGAGTGGCGGGGACAGATACAGGCCTGAGGACGGGCAGAAGTGGTCCAGGCCTGAGACGAGGCGGAGTGGATACAGGCCTGAGAGACGGAGTGGGTAGGGGGCAGATACAGGCCTGAGGACAGGTAGGTGGGGACAGATACAGGCCTGAGGACAGGTAGGTGGGGACAGAATGCCCAGGCCTGAGACAGGCGGGGAGTGGATACAGGCCTGAGGACAGGCGAGGACAGATACAGGCCTGAGACTTCAGGCGGGGCGGACTCACCGGCGTGTCTGAGTGGGCAAGGATGGATCAGGCGTGTCATCAGCGGTCTGCCAGGCAGAGCATCCCGGCGTGCAGCCCCAGGTCCCGTGCCTCTTACCGTAGCTTCTCTTCCTGGGTGTTCCATGGACAAGAGCGCCTCTGCCAGGGTCAGAGTGGAATTGTACCAGAACTCCTCACTTCATGAGGCCTGGGCCTGTGCGATCATTTTCTTGGCTGTCCATAGTTTTCTCTTGTTGGCCAACTGTGCAGGAGGAGCAGGCACTGAGCCTCTGCACAGAACTCATCCAGCTCCTGAAGGAGAGAGACTCAGACATGTGTGGAGTTCCTCTACCCAGGCGTGTGTGCAGGCAGGAGATGGGAAGGTAGAGAGAAGGAGGAAAGGCCGGGCAGAGGCACCGGGTGAGGGGAAGACAGGGCCGCTCACTCTGGCGAAAGCGGATGGAGTAAGGAGCCCACTGACCGCCCTGCACTCCTGGCAGGACTTGCTGTCCTGCCCGGCTCTCCCAGCCCTGTGGCTCCCTTGAGTGGGCGCCCACCCTCCCGCCCTCCCGCACTCCAGAGAGCTTCTCTGGAAGTCACTTTTAACTGCAACGTGCATGGCTATCTGAATTCCATTTAATTATATTTCAGGCGTGTGCTGATGGCGAGGATCGGTGTCAGATACAGGCCTGAGGACAGGCGGGGGTGGATACAGGCCTGAGGACAGGCGGGGACAGATACAGGCCTGAGGACAGGCGGGGGCGGATACCGGCGTGTCTGAGGGTGGGCAGGGATGGATCCAGGCGTGTCATCAGCGGTCTGCCAGGCAGAGCATCCAACGTGCAGCCCCAGGTCCCCGTGCCTCTTACCGTAGCTTCTCTTCCTGGGTGTTCCATGGACAAGAGCGCCTCTGCCAGGGTCAGAGTGGAATTGTACCAGAACTCCTCACTTCCACCCAGGGCCTGGGCCTGTGCAATCATTTTCTTGGCTTGTCCATAGTTTTTCTCCTTGTTGGCCAACTGTGCAAGGAGGAGCAGGCACTGGGCCTCTGCACAGGGCTCATCCAGCTCCTGAAGGAGAGAGACTCAGACATGTGTGGGTTCCTCTACAGACGTGTGCAGGCAGGGAGATAGGAGAAGGTAGAGAGAAGGAGGAGGCAGACAGAGGCACCGGGTGAGGGGAAGACAGGGCCGCTCACTCTGGCAGCAGATGGGTGGGGCCCACGGCCGCCCTCGCACTCCCTGGCAGGACTTGCTGTCCTGCCCGGCTCCTGCAGCCCTGTGGCTCCTTGAGTGGGACGCCCACCCTCCCCGCCCTCCGGAGTCAGCACCGGCTGCAGCGTGCATGACTGTATCTGATTCCATTTAATTATATTTCAGTGATGTGCTGATGAGCGGGATCGGTGTTCAGTGAGGCGCAGCCCCACTCTGGCTCGTCTTCGGGGGGATCTGTCTCCCCCTGCCTGGGCGGCAGGAAGCTTAGTCCCCGGAGCCTCCTGGGGTTCCTGCTGGCCTCGTCCTAGCCCTGTCTTTTAGAGGCTCCCGCTTGGGGTGAAAGACTTCAGGACAGTCGCACCTGGACACCGATGCTGAGAGCGGCTCAGAGGCTCCCAGAGCCTGGCCTGCCCGTCCGGGGCCTGCTGCCAGAGAGTTGGGCAGCCACATGATCTGGGACAGAAACACAGGGCAGCCTGTGCTAAGAAGAGAGGGGTGCTGGTCAGAGGGTGAGGAGAGGACGGGAGCGGCGGCGGGAAAGCAGGGCCCAGCTCCAGGGCTGCCCGGGTATTTTCTGCAGCAGAAAGGCAGTGTCCTGTTCCCAGGCATCACTTTCTGGCCAAACAAGATGCCCTGTGTGCTCGATTGGACCTGGGCAGGCCCCTCCCAGGTGTAGATGCAGGTGCGGGGACAGAGGGGAGGGTGGGCTGATGAGCTGGGGCTACCCGCCAGAGAGCAGGTGTCCCAGCTGCTGAGGGTTCCATCTCTGGCCGTTCCACGCATTTAAATGCCCAGGATGAGGGAGGGGCCGCAGCCACTAGGGAGGCATGCCCCAGGTGTGCCCCTGCCCGACATAGGATCCACCTGGACACCACAGCCTGCATGCAGCTGGGCACGGCTGTGACCGCCAGAGACGGCGTGGGGAGGGCCTGGGTTCACAGCAGCCTCGTGGGCAGTCAGGTGGCCTGAAGGTAGGCAGGTGGGTGGCTGGGCTCTGTGGAAGGGCATTCCTCGCCTCTGGACCAAGCTTGGCAGGGGTGTGCAGGCCTCTGAGGTGGGAAGAGGGGGAGGCCCTTCGTGGCTGGGCCCAGAGAGCAGGGCTGGCAAGGGTCCAATGGGGCCCGGCTCTTGTGGGGCTTGTTCAGGGCAGCTACAGTGGGTCAGAGGCCGGTGACAGGGTGGGCAGGGGCTTCCACATGGAGAGGAGGAGGGTGAGGAGGTGGGACAGAGCTTGGTTGGGGATGAGGAGAGCCCAAAAGGCAGGGAGAGGACAGGGTGGGTGGGGTAGAGGGGGGGTGGAGGGGGGGTGGAGGGGTTAGAGGTGGGGTAGAGGTGGGTAGAGGTGGGGTAGAGGTGGGTAGAGGTGGGTAGAGATGGGGTGGAGGTGGGGTGGAGGTGGGGTGGAGGGGGGACGGAGGGGGGGCGGAAGGGGATGGAGGGGGGATAGAGGGGTTAGAGGTGGGGTAGAGGTGGGGTAGAGGTGGGGTAGAGGTGGGGTAGAGGTGGGTAAAGGTGGGGTAGAGGTGGGGTAGAGGTGGGTAGAGGTGGGGTAGAGGTGGGGTGGAGGTGGGGTGGAGGTGGGTAAAGGTGGGGTAGAGGTGGGGTGGGTGGGGTAGTGGTGGGGTGGAGGTGGGGTAGAGGTGGGGTGGAGGTGGGGTAGAGGTGGGGTCTAGGTGGGGTAGAGGTGAGTAAAGGTGGGTAGAGCGGGGGTGGAGGTAGGGTAGTGGTGGAGTAGAGCTGGGGTAGAGGTGGGGTAGAGGTGGGTAGAGGTGGGGTGGAGGTGGCGTAGAGGTGGGGTGGGTGGGGTAGAGGTGGGGTGGGTGGGGTGAAGGTGGGGTGGAGGTGGGGTAGAGGGGGGTAGAGGTGGGGTGGGTGGGGTGGAGGTGGGGTGGAAGTGGGGTGGAGGTAGGGTAGATGGGGTAGAGGTGGGGTGGAGGTGGGGTAGAGGTGGGGTAGGTGGGGTAGAGGTGAGTAGAGGTGGGGTAGAGGTGGGGTGGAGGTGGGTAGAGGTGGGGTAGAGGTGGGGTGGAGGTGGGGTAGAGGTGAGTAGAGGTGGGGTAGATGGGGGTAGAGGTGGAGTAGAGGTGAGTAGAGGTGGGGTAGAGGTGGGTAGAGGTGGGGTAGAGGTGGGGTAGAGGTGGGGTAGAGCTGGGGTAGAGGTGGGTAGAGGTGGGTAGAGGGGCGTGTGAGGCTGATGCCAGGGTCTCCAGTGCTGACACTGAGTGGGAGGGCAGAGCCCTGTCCAGAGTAGTAGGCAGCACAAGGAACAGTCACAGCCCCCAGGGCAGATGTTTCCAGCCTGGAGTCCCCTGAGGTCGGCGGGGGTCTGAGTACTGAGGCCACGGCGAGAGCGCCCAGGGGAGGTCAGAACACCAAGAGAAAAGGCCACCATGTGGGTGGGCCTGAGAGGGGAGGGGAAAGCCAGAGAGCACGCGGGAGGGGTGCCACCAGTAGGACGGAGAGAGCCCCCCCGAGGAGGGACCAGGGTGGAAGGGCAGAGCGCACTCCCATCGCCAGCCTGGGGGAGCGGGTTCAGAGAGGCTCGGGGATGGGGTGGCCGGGCTGCACTGGCTGAGGGTGAGGTGGGGCAGGAGGGGAGGGCAGCACACGAAGGCAGGCTTTCTGCGACATGGATGCAGCTGAGAAGCCAGGGTGAGCTGAGGGCTGAGTTGAGGACAGGAGCCGGGAGGCCTCCAGGCAAGAGGGCGGGGAAAGATCAAGGAAACAAACAACTTCCTGCCAGAAGTGCCAGCTGCGAAACGAAGTCCCTGCACAGCCGCAGCTGCAGAAGGAGGGTGGTGGCTGCAGAAGGAGGGTGGCGGCTGCAGAAGGAGGGTGGCAGCTGCAGAAGGAGGGTGGCGGCTGCAGAAGGAGGATGGCCACCTGCGCTCGTGGGAGTCTCACACCCGTCACATCCGTCCTAGGACTGGGCTCCAAGGTCCACGGAGGCTCCGGCACGCAGCAGACTCACTCCCTAAGTCCCAGAGCTCTCACCACCTGACCGCGGGTGAGGGAGGCCGGGCCTCTGCCCACCTCAGGGGCTTGACTCTCACCCCGGGAGCTCCCAGGAGCTCTTCCACACCTCCGGCCCTCGGCCCCAGCAGAGGCTGGCCCTCTCCTGTGGCTGTGGCCAAAAGAACACTGCACCCAGCATCCTCAGTCCCTTCCTCAGACAAGCTCCCTTTTGACCCTGGTATGCACACACCCGTCTCTGCTATCAGAGACCTGCTCACACTTGTCCTCAGTGCCTGAGACCTGCACACACCTGTCCCTGCTATCAGAGACCTGCACACACCTGTCCCATTTCCTACAGATCTGTACATACATTTCTAGTGCACACAGACCTACACACCAACCACCCTTCCTGAGACCACCACACACTGTTCTCAGTGCCTGAGACACCTGCACCCTATCACCACTATGAAGACCTGCCGCACCCTGTCCCTGCTATCAGAGACCTGCACACCATCACATTTCTAACTCCACACTGCCCTATTCTCAGTGCCTGAGACACACACCTCCCCCCTTCCTGAGACCTACACCTGTTTCTCATTGCTGGAACTCACCTTTCTGTCCTGCCTGTCAGAGCATTCTCTGCACCTGCTCCTACTATCAGAGACCTGCACACACCTGTCCCATTTCCTGAGCTCTACCACACCTGTTCTCAGTGCCTGAGCCTGCACCCTACTACCCCTTGAGATCTGCACCTGGTGTCTCAGTGCACAGAGACCACTTTCTCATCCCTGCTGTGAGGCACGGCACCTGTCTGCTGTCAGGGGGCCCTGCCCCACCTGTCCCATTTCACTGGGCTCTGCACACCTGTTCTCAGTGCGAGACCTGCACACCTGTCCACTATAGACCTGGCACTCCTGCACAGTTTCTTTGCCCTCCTAGTGCAGAGATAAAAAGTCCACACACCTGTTCTCAGTGCCTGAGACCTGCACACACCTGTCCCCCTTCCTGAGACCTGCATGCACCCTGCCTGAGACCTCACACACCTGCCCTCAGTGCTGGAGATAAAGTCTGAACCTCTCAAGGCTTTGATGGGTGTCACTGAATTTTTATACCATTCTAGGACCCTCTCTTTTTCTGGAGTTTTTCTTCAAAACAAGTGACAGGCTGTCTGGTTCTGTAGCTCTGCCTCATCCTCCCAGTGAAAGCAACTCTAAATCTGGACAGAAGATGTCACCACATGTCTGAGGTGAGTTTGGAGGGCAGTCAGTGCTGGCAAAAACTGGCAACTACAATTTTTGCACAGAGAGAAGCACCCGTGGGCCTCCATCCATCTGGCTTTTTCCTGGGGCTGCCATCCCTGCAGGGGAACAAAACCTGGGGGAATGCAAGCGCCCAGGGTGAGGAGAGGAGGCTGCAGCTGGGACTTCCAGTGCTGAGGCTTGCAGGGCCAGTCCCAGGAGGAGGGGCCGAGGAGAAGGGTCTGAGGTCCGTACTTCCCCTCAGGGCTGTCAGCTGGGCTTGGCTGCTCAGGGCAGAGGAGGATGTCACAAAGCCTGGCAGGAGCCAGCTGAGACCAAACAGCTGCAGCGCCCGCCGGGGAGACCGGGCCTCAGCAAACATCCCGGGGGGCTTTCACTGGGGACCGTAAGGGTCACATCTGGGGAGTGAGAGCAAAACGAACAAAGACCAGACCAGACCCGGATCCCTGGACCCAGGCGGCCCCGCACACGATCCGCCCTCTAGAACAAAGTGGCACTTCTGGCAGACACTCTCTGGGGTTCCCCAAGTTCTCATCCAGCCTCAGAAGGTAAGAAACTGACATGGCAGGAGGCAGAGAGGAGCCACCGACGACCAAGAGAAACGAGAGGTTGCAGAGACCCACAACAGGTACTGGAAATAGAAACTTCAGCAAACTGTGAGTGGCAAAGCAAAAGACGGACAGACAGAGGCTGTGCTAGAGATGAATGCTACAGCCCAAGCTTCCGCCTGCAGCCCCTCCGCTGTGCACAGTGCGCTGGGAGCGGCCGTGGATGGTGACGGGCTGGGAGGGGCTCCTCACCTGGAAAGCCAGATGAGCCTCCGACAGGAGCAGCCGTGCAGGCTGGTACAGGTTCATCTCCAGCAGAACTTCTGCCTTCAGCATCCACAGGAGGGGAAAGGATGTCCCATCCAGGCCCTTCCCGGTCTCCCCATTCATCTTCAAAATCTGGAAGACACCGCAGCCCCAGGTGGCAGGGTCCTGACACTGTGACCTCCGAGTCCCACGGGACGAGCTCTGGCTCAGCAGCCGTCCCTGCGACTCAGGAACCACACCACACCGAGGGCACCCTGCTGGCCTAGGCATTGTGGGCGCCTCACAAGCTCCCCGTGCGCCCTGAGGCCAGGGCTCAGGCCTTTGCCTTTCCCCCGACAGACCCTCTTGCACCCTGTGTACCTCTCTCTTCTCACGAATCCCCTGGCAGCCAACCAAGACCACCACTAGCCACGTAGAGCCTTTGCTACTACACACACACACACACACACTGGGGTGTAGGACCCCCTGCCCCACTTCGTGCTGCCGACCAACCCTGGGATCTGGGCCTGCCCGCGGCTGTGCACCCGGCCTTGCTAGGGCACCCCTGGCGTAGGCCAGTGGCTGAGCCCCTGCACTGGGATCTGGGCCTACCCCACATCCTCCCACCCTCTCCTCGCTAAGCAGAGACCCCGGCGGGGGCAGAGGCTGAGCCTCGCACTGCTGTGTTCTGGATCCAGGTCCTGTGCTGAGCCCCTGTCCTGTCCTGACTGCCAGGTCACAGGAAGCATGACCTTTGCTCCTCCATGGTGCTCCCATGGTAACTGCGTTTTGGGTTAGGAGCTGGGCTGGTCACCTTCCTTTACAGGCAAATGCAGAGGGTGCTGTGCTCTCCTGCTGAGGGAAACCAGGTGGCGGGAGGCCCAGTTCTGTCAGATGACGAGGACCCCCAGGTGGAGACCCCTCTTTGCTGTCCCCACCTTCTCTCTGCCTCTGCGCAGGCACCTGGCGGGCCTGTTCCAGGGAGGCCTGTGGTGCACATAAAGCTCATCTTTCCCGGGGAATTCCAGGGCCCACGGGAGGACAAATCACTCACAGGAAGCCCCTTACACACTGACACACAGGCCGGCCTCCTGGCTCAGCTGCAGGACACACAGGCCGGCCCCTCGCACACTGGCAGACACACAGGCCGGCCCCTCGCACACTGACAGACACACAGGCCGGCAGAGCCGGCCCTCGCCACACTGGCTGAACCCCAGGAGGCCGGCCCACCCGAACTGACAGACACACACAGGCCGGCCCCTCGCACACTGACAGACACACAGGCCGGCCCCCTGGCTCAGCTGCAGCCCTGCACGGCCATGAGGGCACCGGCGTCCACTGGGCTGCAGGTCAGAAGGATTCTGGATGGTGAGGTTTACCTTGTCCTTGGCTTCCAGCGGTTTGATCTCCCCAGGCCGGATGGGAAGTGTCTGCTCACTCAGTGTCGGCAGGCTTTCTTCTAATAAAGGTTCCTTATTTTTCTCTTTTTTCAACGCGATCTCTTTCCTGCAGCTAAGGTGAGTAAAACAGACGATACGCGTTATCTGTGCATCATGAGTTACCCACCTCCAGCCTGACCCAGGAGAACCAGCCACAGCCGTGTCCCCAAGTGCTCGCTCTCCCCAGAGGGGCAGGAGTCCAGGGCAGAGGGTGGCCGGGTGGCTGGGTTTTACCCGGCCACACCAAGGGCAAGACTCAAGCCCCAGGCGGCGCCGGGTGGGACCGCACCCACCTGGCCTGCTCCAGCTCGCTGACGTACACCTGCCCGACCGCCTCTTCATGGTGCGCAGCTGCTTCGCTCAGCTTCAGCTCGGAGCACATGTGGGCGAGGCTGTGGGGAGTGTGGCCGGGAGCGTCAGTGCCGCGCGGGAGCGGAGGGAGCCAGAAACAAAGCTACGAGTGTGTTTCACAGAAAACGGACAACTAAAACATCGAGGCGTACTTGGATGATGTTTTCAATCATTTTTCAAGGTAAGCGAAATTACTAGGGAAAGGTGCCAGGTAGCTCCATCACATTTCAGGTGGGATTTTTTCCTGCTCCTTCACAGATCTCGTGTGAGGCATTATCTGTTGCCTCCTGGATGCCGTCCGAGGAGAGGAGGAGGCCCTCAGGTGGGCTCAGCAGCCACCACCACAAGCAGAGAAGCCTTGACTCCTGTTGAAAACCCTATTCTTGTAAAATGCTTTCAGGCAAGCAGGAAAGTTGCACAGACGCCAGGAGGCATCCCTGTGCAGGCCCCGGTGGCCCCTCTTGGCCCCGTGACCACACCTGCTCCAGCTTCCTCTCCCGCTCCCGCCCCTGGGATATCTGAGCAAGCTGAAGATGCAACTTGCGGCCTTTCTCCCAGATCCTTCAGTGGCCCGGGCACGCTTCCATTTATCACACTGTGCTTTATTGTGCTGCTCAGATACTGCATATTTTACAAATTGCAGCCCTGAGCGACCGAGTCCATCGGCACCATTTTCCAACAGCACCTCCTCACTCGGTGTCTCTGTGTCACATTTTGGTGATTCTCAAAATATTTCAAAAAATCAAAATATTATTATGATTCTGTTACGGTGATCTGTGTTCAGTGATCTTTGCAGTTACCATTATCATTGTTTTGGGGCACCATCAACCACGCCCATGTATGACAGTGAACTGAGTCGACAAACGTCCCGTGGGTTCTGACTGCTCCACGGCTTGGCTGCTCCCCCATTTCTCTCCCTCCCCTCGGGCCTCCCTATTTCCCAAGACACAGAAATTTTGAAATTAGGCCAGTTAGTAACCCTGCGATGGGCTCTAAGTGTACCAAAGAAAGGAACAGTCACACGTCTCTCACTTTAAAGGAAAAGCCAAAAATGATTCAGTTCAGTGAGGAAAGCATGTCAGAAGCGGAGACAGACTGGAAGCTCGGCCCCTGCACCAGTTAACCAAGTTGTAAGTGCAAAGAGAAAGTTCTGAAAGGAAATTCAAAGCTCCTACAGGGAACGTATAAATACAAATGACGAGAAAGTGAAGCCACCTCAGTGCTGATATGAATAAGTTTCCATGGTCGGCGCCGAAGATCAAACCAGTCACAACATTCCTTTAGGCCGAAGCCTAATCCAGAGCGAGGCCCTCACTCTCTTCAATCCCATGAAGGCCAGCAGACGTGAGGAAGCTGCAGAAGAAAAGTTTGAAGCTGGCAGAGGTGGGCTCGTGAGGTTTAAGGACAGAAGCCGCCTCCATAACATAAAAGTGCCAGGTGAAGCAGCAAGTGCTGATGGAGAAGCTGAAGCCTTAGCCGGAAGATCCAGCTAATAAGAGCATCGATGGTGGCTACGCTAAACAACAGATTTCCGTTGTAGACCACACAGCCTTCTGTTGGAAGAAGATGCCTTCTAGGACTTTCATAGCTAGTGAAGAAAAGTCAATGCCTGGCTTCCAAGCTTCCAAGCACAGGCGGACTCTCTTGCTAGGGGCTAACGCGGCCAGGGACTTTGAGTCGAAGCCAGTCCTCATTCACCATTCTGAAAATCCCAGAGCCTTTAAGAATGATGCTCTATCGGCCAGGCGTGGTGGTTCACGCCTGTAATCCCAGCACTTTGGGAGGCCGAGGAGGGCAGATCACGAGGTCAGGAGATCGAGACCATCCTGGCTAACATGGTGAAACCCCATCTCCACTAAAAAAAAAATACAAAAAATTAGCCGGGCATGTTGGCGGGCGCCTGTAGTCCCAGCCACTTGGGAGGCTGAGGCAGGGGAATGGTGTGAACCCAGGAGGCAGAGCTTGCAGTGAGCTGAGATGGCACCACTGCACTCCAGCCTGGGCAACACAGCGAGACTCCGCCTAAAAAAAAATTAAAAAAAAAAAAAAAAGAATGATGCTCAATGTACTCTGCCTGTGCTCTGTAAGAGGACAACAAAGCCTGATGTCAGCAGATCTGTTGACAACATGGTTTGCTGAATATTTAAAGCCCACTTTTGAGACCTACTGCTCAGAAAAACAGATTCCTTTCAAAATAGTACTGCTCACTGGCAATGCTTCGGTCACCCAAGGGCTCTCACGGAGATGTACAAGGAGATGAATTCTGTCCCATGCCTGCTAACACCACTGCTAACACCACACCCATGCAGCCCATGGATCAAGGCGTCATTTCGACTTTCAAGTCTTACTATTTACAAAGCACATTTAATAAAGTTACAGCGCCCACAGAGAGTGATTCTTCTGATGGATCTGGGCAAAGTGAATTGAAAACCTTCTGGAAAGGATTCGTCATTCTAGATCCCATTAAGAACATTCCTGATTCATGGGAGGAGGCCAAAATAGCAACATTAACAGGAATTTGGAAGAAGTTGATTCCAACCCTCATGGATGACTTTGAAGATTCAAGACTTCAGTAGAAGGAGCTACAGGTGTGGGGGAAACAGCAAGAGAAGCAGAATCAGAAGTGGAACCTGAAGATGGCCCTGAATTGCCACAGTCTCAAGAGAAAACCTGAATGGATGCAGAATTGCCTCTTACGGACGAGCAGAGAAAGTGGTTTCTTGAGATGGGATCTGCTCCTGGTGAAGATGCTGTGAACACTGTGGAAATGACAAAAGGGACCTAGAATATTCCATACATTGAGTTGATAAAGTGGGAATAGCATTTAAGAGACTGACTCCAATTTTGAAAGAACTTCTGCCATGGGTAAAATGCTATCAAACAGTGTTGCATGCTACAGATAAATCTTCTGTGAAAGAGTTGATTCATGTGGCAAATTTTATTGTTGTCTTATTTTAAGAAATTGCCAGCCTTTTTAGCATTTTTAGTACATACATTTTAAATGGATGTATGTACATTTTTTAGACATAATGCTGTCGCACACTTCATAGACTACAGAATAGTGTAAACCTAACTTCTATAGACTCTGGAAAGCCAAAAAGTTCATGTGACTTGCTTTACTGTGATATTTGTTTTGTTTTGGAACCTAACCCACAATATCTCCAAGATAGGCCTGTATTTCCTTAAAACAAGAATATTCTCTTAAGGATCAGGTAGAAATTTTAAAATAAAAATATCATATTTTATTTAAAAAATTTTTAGTAACAGGGTCATGCTCTGTTGCCCAGGCTAGAGTGCAGGGGCACGATCATAGCTCACTGCAGCCTCGACTTCTTAGGCTCAGGTGATCCTCTTGCCTCAGCCTCCTGAGTAGTTGGGACAACAGGTGTGTGTCACCATACCTGGCTAACATATTTTTTAAATTTTCTGTAGAGATGGGGTCTTGCTATGTTGCCCAGGCTGGTCTCAAACTCCTGGGATCAAATAGTCCTCCCGTCCCAACCAAAAATACCATTTTTATATTCAAATATTTTTATTTACTTGGTGTTCAAGTCCCAGGGACTTTATTATTTACAGAGTCAACTACAGAATTAATATTTTAACAGGCTGTTCATTTTTATATTCTTTGGGGAAATCACATTCCAAAAAAGGAGCTGTACCCACCGAAGGTGGTAGAGATCCGCCAGGCCCTTGCTTCCCACCACGGAGTCCGAAATCAGCACCCCCAACTGCAGGACGGGGACCGTGAGTTCGTGTAGGCACATCTTCTGCAGGGCCTTGACCAGGTGGTCCAGGAAATACAAACTGTACGTCTACATGGACACATAACACACACAGGAGGTCACAGGAGCAGGTGTAGACCACAAGTATAAGGGTCTTTCCTCAGAGAACCCCCTCCCTCCCCATGCCGGCATGTGTCTACATACAGCAGGTGCCAGCACGCGTCTGCACACAGCAGGTACCAGCACGTGTCTGCATACAGCAGGTGCTCAGCACGTTTCTGTGGGATGGATGGAGGCTGTGCTATCTTCCTTCCCTCTTCCACTCATGGGTTTCACTTTGTCACACGTGATAATCTTTGTGAACATCAGCACCCAAGTATGAAGATCCCCACAAGAAACACACCCATTCATGGATTTATTCAAATTTATGTGTTTGTTTCATTTTTCCACTAAAAACTACTGACTCACTAGAGACAGAATTTCTTTGTGTGCACACACAACCACTTAAACATTTAATATATAAAGAAGAGCTAATGCTTCCTATGATGTAGGACTCAGTTTGTTAAAACCATTACTCTTGAGTGGGAAATTAGGAAAGTCGGATGACCTGTTGCAAAAATGCACTTCTAAGAACTGGAGGGTAATCAATATTCAAAGAATGACTGGGCCAAGATCTGGAAGTCAGTATGCATCCAGGGACACGAGCCTGGCTATCAGGCACTGACACAGCCGAGGGCCCCACGGTGCTCTGCACCGTGCTGCAGGCTGGGCTTAGAAAACTGGGTTCAGGGCCCACCAAGAGCTCCACTCTCTCACTCTCTCTCTCAGGCTGGGTTCTTGAAGGGCTGCACCTTAGAATTCCAGGTAATCTAGGAGGAGGCCATTCCCTCAGGGATGACAGCCAGGCAGAGGGGCTGTGCGGGCAGCCCGGAAAGCATGGGGTCCCTTGAGAGGTCGATGGAATTGATCACTCCTGGTGAGGCTGATCGGGAGAGCGAGCGAGGAGTGACAGGGCTCTACAGATCTCACAGGCATTAAAAGGTAATACAAGGATATTGAGAACAACTTCATGACAATATATCCAAAATGCATTTTAAATAAAAACATCCTAGGAAAAATGCAACCCATGAAAACTGTTACAAGAAGAAATAGAAACTCTGAAGAATTCTATAACTATGAAATAAATTGGATCCATAATTTAAAATTTTCTCAAACAGAAGCTCTGGGCTCAGATGGCTTTACCAGGGAATTCTTCCAGATATTTAAGGATGAAATAACTACCAATCTTATACAAATTTCTCCTAACAATGGTCAGAAAGGAACACTTGCTAACTGACTAAAAGGCCAGCATAACTTTCACCACATCCTGAGGAGGACACAAATGAAAGGAAAATTAAACATCGTCTTCCTCACAAGCACAGATGAACACACCCACAGACAGAAGAGCCGCCAACCAAAGCTGGTGACACAGAGTGAGTGACAGTACAGCCAAGCTGCCCTATTGTGATAATCATTAGAAACAATCAAGGTAATTAATTCAAGGAATGAAGGAGGAAAACACCATCTGCATAGATGGAGAAAAATATTTGATAAAAATATAAAAGCATTCATGACTAAAATTCTTAGTGAATAGAAATAAACTTCCTCAGTCAATAAAGATCTATAAAAACCCACAACAAACATCAATTATACTTCTGAGTAAAATGTCGGAAACTTTCCTTTGGGATAGGGCACGCAACATAAAAATAGATGTTATCACCATTTTTATTCAACCTCATACTGGAGGTCCTTGCCAGAATATAAGGCAAGGTAAAGAAAAAACAGTGTAAAGAGTGGAAACTAAAAAAGAAAAATGTGTTTGCAGATAAAACGACGATGTACACACAAAATCCAAAATAATCTACAGACAAATTACTAAAGTTATAAAGAGCTTAACAAAATGGATGCTTACAAGGCCAAAATGAAAACAATTACATTTCCACAGTTTATCTGGAGTTTAAACATGAAACAAAAAAGCTATATTTACAACAGCATCAACCATTTCAAATACACAGAAATAAACCTGACATGTACAACTGCCATGCAGAAAACTCTGGTCTATTGTTAAGAGACGTTGAAGATGACCTAAGTCAATGGAGAGACAGACCATGTCCATGGATCAAAAGGCTCAACACCATAACAATGTCGGTTCTCCACAAAGTAACTTACAGATTCAATGCAATGTCAGTAAAAACTCTACCAGGGTTTGTGATGAGTCTGACACACTGATTCTAAAATACACATGGACATGCAATAGAGAATAAAAAGAATAACCCAACCGTCCTGAAGAATGAGGTAAGGAGATTTTCTCTACCAAATACTCATGGTTGTGAAGCTCAGTAATTGACATTGAGATGATGCTGCAAGGACAAAAAACCAACAGAAAGCAAGAGAGACCCCAAAGCAACCCCATGCACAGGTGAGCACCTGCTCATGCCCAGTGCAGCCAGCAGGGAAGGTGGCCAGTGACATTTCAGGAAGTGGTGTCAGAACAATGGGACACCCTGACTGCCAAGCTTGAGGCTTGACCCCTACCTCACACCACATACACATCAAGTTCAGGTGACAGGCAAAACTATAAAGGTGCAAAATATTTCCACTTTTTGGAAAAATACTATAACAGAATATGTGTACAACCTCCAGAAATGAAAACATAAAAAAAGGACATGAAAAACTGACTAATTACAAAGGAAAAGACTAATGACTCTTACTACATTAAAACTACTAATCCCTGTTCCCAAAAAGACCTCCTTAACAGAGTGGAAAGGCAAGGCACAAAGTGGAGGCGGATCTGCTGGTCACATGGCTGCTCATGTGATTTTCCAAAATAAAGGATTCCTTCAAACCAATAAGGAAAACTCAGAAAGCTTAATTAAATATGGGCAATAGCCTGGAGGGCACAACACAAGAGAGGACCTCCAAGGATAGGAAGCACTGAAGGCCAACCTCACTGTGGCCAGGGGTTTCCCATTAAATGATGGGGAATGCCACTGCCCACCCACTGGCTGCTGAGATTGAGGGGAGTGTCATCAGCAGGGATCTGCACAGGGCCACTCTACCCATGGCAGGCACAGCAGTGCACTGAATGACCACTGTGGAGGGCAGCATGGCAGTGTGGCACCAAACATCACAGGTGGAGATTCACATCCTCCATGGTCCAGAAAGTCTGTGATGGGTGTGTCCTCCAGGCATGGGGGCATGTGGGCACCAGGACACAGTGCATGGATAGTCACAAAAGCTTCATGTAGTAGCTGTTAACCGGAAACAGCCCATCTACCAGCAGGTGGATGGACGAACCATGGCCTGTCCATGCAATGGGCCGCCCACAGCAGTACACAAAACATAGACAGACTTGGCCAGGTGCGGTGGCTCAAGCCTGTAATCCCAGCACTTTGGGAGGCCGAGATGGGCAGATCACGAGGTCAGGAGATCGAGACCATCCTGGCTAACACAGTGAAACCCCATCTCTACTAAAAAATACAAAAAAGGCCGGGCGCGGTGGCTCAAGCCTGTAATCCCAGCACTTTGGGAGGCCGAGACGGGCGGATCACGAGGTCAGGAGATCGAGACCATCCTGGCTGACACGGTGAAACCCCGTCTCTACTAAAAAATACGAAAAAACTAGCCGGGCGAGGTGGTGGGCGCCTGTAGTCCCAGCTACTAGGGAGGCTGAGGCAGGAGAATGGTGTAAACCCAGGAGGCGGAGCTTGCAGTGAGCTGAGATCCGGCCACTGCACTCCAGCCTGGGTGACAGAGCAAGACCCTGTCTCAAAAAAAAAAAAAAACAAAAACCATAGACAGACCATGGCCTGTCCACACAATGTGTCACCCACAGCAATGCATGAAACTCAGACCATGGCCTGTCCACATAATTGCCACCCACAGCAATGCATGAAACACATCGACAGACCATGGCCTGTCCACGCAATGGGCCACCCACAACAATGCACGAAACAAATCATGGGGACACAGCGAGCCTGGCAGGTCCCACAGACGGAGTCCCAGGTGAAGGACGCTCACCAAAGAGAATCCACCCCAACAAGGCACAGAGATCTAGTGGACACCCAGTCCTAGCCCCTGGAGCTGTGTGCATGACCACAGAATGGCGAAAAGGACTTTCGGATGTGATAAGGTGAGGACCCCGAGGTGGGGAGGGTCTCCGGGATAGTCCAGGTGAGCCCTAAATGTAATTCCATGGGAGGGAGTGGGAGATTTGATCTGCACAAAAGAGGAGGCCACGTGACCACAGAGGCCGACCGGGATGAGACAAGAGGGATCTTCCCCAGGCCCCTTGGAGGGTGTCACCCTCCCGACACCTGGATTTGGGCCCAGGGAAACTGATTTTCAGCTTCCGGCCTCCAGAACTGTGAGAGGATCAGTTCCTGCTGTTTTAAGCACCCGGCTGTGGGAGCTTGTCATAAACACCTGTCCTGTCTCGCTAGGTGCGTGTTGGACTTGGGTGGGGAAAGAAGAAAGGCTTTCCTGGGTGTTGGCAGTTAGGGGCAGACAGTGGTGCTGGGAGGGCCTGTAGGGGGCTGGGGGCTGATGGAACTCTGTCCTGTCCTCCTTTTTCTGGCTACAGTTCACAGTGGAAACTGGACCTGGGGACAGGTCAGGGGACACCACGCTGTGACAAAGGTCTTGAGCCTTTTCCTTATGTCAACGTACCGGCTTCTGGATACTTGAGGGGTTAACAGTAGAGTCACTTCTGTCCTGTTTCAGCACAGACAGCACTTCCTCGGGGCAGGAGTAGGAAGCCCACTCTTCTATGCTCGTGGGTAAGTCTTCTAGTTGTTTGTTAGGAGCTGGGCTTTGACACTAGAAAGGTAAGAATGCAGGATTTCCCTGAAACGGTGGAAACAGCAGACACCGCCCCCCAGCCCCCACCGGCATGGCTGTGCAGCAGGCAGGCCACAGCCCTGGGGAGCCGGCATCCCTCCTACCAGCAGACCCCAGCGAGCACCCAGATCCAGCCTCTGACACTGTTTCCAGGCAGTGCACGCAAAGCTGTCTGCCCTGTGCACAGCCAGAGTCGGCCTGGGGGTGCCCAGGCTCAGGACTTCCAGGAGCTAAGGCTCTGCAGCCTCTGCCTCCTGCATCTCCCCTCTGACAGCTGACTGGTGAGCTCAGCAGTGCTCGTGCCAGGGTCTGGGTGTGAGTGTCCCGCTCTGGGAAGCTGGGCGGCCAAGTGGTTTCTCTGCCCAGCACTTTCAGAAGTGGATACTTGCAGAGAGAAAGGTTTCATGGGATTAAAAAAACACTTTTCTCACTGCTCTGGGACCCAGACCCTGGGCTGTGTCTACTGCCATGGCCTCCGAGCCTGGCAGACCTGGGACGATGTGCTTTGTGCAAGCCGCATGCGTTACGTGGCTAGCTCCAGGCCCGGGATTCCCGCCAGGGACACGCCAGGTGCTTTACAGACATACTGACAGGGAGAGAAACCGGGGCACACAGGCCGGCCAGGGCCCAGCCTCTGCACTGAGGCCACCTGGGGCTCCTCCGAGAACCCTGACAGGCAGGGAAACTGAGGCACAGGCCATCCTGGGCCCGGCCTCTCCACCACGGCCGCCCGGGCACCACCTGCTTGGGCTCCTTGGCTTTCTCCTCCTTTCCCTTCTCCTTCTCCTTCTCTTTACTCCTCTCATTCTCCTTCTCTTTTTTAGGCAATAACAGATGTGAGCTGGTTGCTGCCAGGGGTCTGCTTTCTAGAACCGATTTTCCTGCTGTCATCAAGGAAACCTGGGCAGGGATGAAATCCACGTTTGCAGCACTGAAAACCCACCCGCCACCCACTCCGCCCACCCTCCACTCCTGGGTGAGGGACACTCAGACCCGCAGGGCTCCCCAAGCTCTAGCGCTCTGGTGGTCTTACGTCCCCGTCAGCTGCTGTCAGGTGAGGCCCCTAGAGCACAGAGCGGGGTTGGCCAGGGGTGTGGCACTGGGGGCTGCAGGGACATGCCCGTGAGCACGCTGGCTCCTCGGGTGTCCCTCAGTCTCACTCCACAGCAGGACACCCCTGGCCCTGGGGCTCCCTGCTGACCATCCCACACCTTCCCTGCAGCGGCTCTTGTCAGGGCTGTGCCCAGGCAGGGAGGACACTGGGCACGTCTCTTGGCAGGCCCTGCCGGCCCCTCGCAGCCCTGACACGTGTGGGCATTTGGGGCAGGCGTGGCTGGCCCTGGGGGGGACTTGCCACTCTACAGGTGAATGAGTTCAAGGTCTCTAATTAAGAACCCATGAGAATAACGTTGAGCGATTCTCCTAGAAGGGTCACAAAGAATGGCAGCTTGGGCGCCTGTGGCCCCAGGTCTGGCAGTGGTGGAGGCTGGTGGGGGGCTGGCGTGGAACATTCTGAAGACGGGATGAGGGGGCCTCCCTGCCTTTCCTGCTCTGCCCATGGCTGGGCAGTGTCCCTGTTGATCCCGAGATGCCCTATGGGGGTTCCGGGCAAACTTGTCCTCAGAAGAAAGGCCTGCCATGCCTGGCGCTGCCCTGCTGGGTGTAGCCCGCGGGAGGCCTGGATAGGCGCACGGGGCGGCCCCAACAGTGCTCCTGGTGGGCTTCACAGGGAGAGGTGGTAGGAGGAGCAGGATAAGGAGGGGGGTGGGAGTGGGGCACAGAAGAAGGTTCTGGAAGCCCCGTCAGTGGGCGGTTCAGGAGCTGTTGGGCCCCAGCTGCCAACAGAGGCGCCTGCTGCTGCCTTGGCATGGCGAGCCAGGCAGAGGCAGTTTTGGGTGGTGGTCGGCAAGGGCACTGGGGCGGGTGTCAGGGAGGACTGGCTGATCTGGAGGGAGCCATGAGCCCTCCCTTGGGGAGTGCTGGGAATGTGGAGGGTGCAGGAGTGAAGAGGGGAGTCTCTTGTTTTTATGCCGATGGAAATCATCCAGTAGAGAGGAAGAATCTGGATGTCGCAGGAAACTGCTCACATCTCAAAGGTCTTTAGGAAATGCTGGGAAAGGCTCTGATGCCTTTAGAATGCTCACTGCAGTTTCCCCAGCCCACAGCCCGTCCCGGGAGGCGTTGCAGGGACAGGGGAGCCTTCGCTGGGCCTCACCTGCCAGATGTGCCTGAAGAAGGCATAGGCTGCAAGGCAGCAGTCCTCGTAGCCCTCGGCACCCGGCGACAGCACCAGTGCCAGTAGGATGTGCACACGGGCCAGTGCCTCCAGCTGCCGCACGCTACGCAGCTGCTCCAAGGACACCACCTCCCCAGCCTCGGACACGGAGCTCTGTGGGGGCATCTGCACGGCCACGTACTCCCCTGAAACACGGGGTGCCCGAGGCTGAGAGCAGGCCCAGCTACAGGTCTGTGGGCCCCAGGCCACTCCCTTCCCTGCCTGAGGCTGCGGGGACTGCCGGTGCCTCGCCGACCCCCGGTGCTCCACTCTGCTGAGAGCCGGGAGCCGGGGAAGAGCCACGTGTTGCACTTACTCTGCGAAGGCTGAGCTTGGCGGCCCCCTCACCCCCAGGGGCAGCTCCACTCTCAGCTCCAGCCCCAGGTCCCCAGGCCCTGAGGGCTCTCCTGCTGCCCTGTGTGTCCTGGAAGCCTCATGAGCTGCACCTGGCCTGGGCATCCCGTTCCTGTCCCAGACTGTCCCAGACTGTCCCGAGGGCCTGGGAGTTCTGAGCAGGGCCCCCACTCATCCTGACAGGGGGCTAGGAGCAGCAGCCACGGGGAGGGTGGCCCTGAGCAAGCCAGCATTGACGGCCCGGCTGTGTGCACATGTGTGTGCGTGTGTGTGTGCGCGCATGTGTGTGCGTGTGTGTGCGTGCGTGCACGTGTGTGTGTGCATGTGCATGTGTGCGTGTGCGTGTGTGTGCCCGTGTGTGTGCGCGTGCGTGTGTGTGCCCGTGTGTGCGCGTGCGTGTGCCCGTGTGTGTGCGTGTGCATGTGTGTGTGCCCGTGTGTGCGTGCGTGCATGTGTGCCCATGTGTGCGCACATGCGTGTGTGTGCAGTGGCCACCCTAGCTGGGCTCTGCCAGCCTCTGCTCTTCATGGCAGGCCTGTGGGAACCACCCCATGGGACTCTCCAGGCGCACCTGCGCTCCCCACAGAGTTTCTGCCCCGGGTCACCCTGAGCTGATGCCCAGGCACTGGTGGTGTTTACGCTCTGGATGATGCCAGTGGGGCCGCCATCGTCTGCCCAGGTCCCCACTTACCAGCAAACCCCCACCTCCCTGCACTGCTGTGAGCAGGGGCCGGGTGGCCAGGAGCCTGCTGAAGAGGAGCAGCTGGAGAAGGGAGCCCCTACCTCGAGTCGGAAGCCACTTTGGGGATGGCTGAGGTGCCCACAGGGTCTGTGGTCTCCCCCAGCCTCCTGAGGAAGGCGGCCTTCGGGCCGGCCCAGCTGTGTGCCTGAGGACATGGCTTCTCCCTGACCTGGACAGAACCTTTCTGTGAAGGTCGTCTGGTGGAGGTCAGGCTGAGTCCCTGAGGGCCCCTGCAGAGGACAGCGCTGTGACGCATCGGGGCTCCTGGCCTCCAAAGCCTGCACGGACACGTGGATGCCCAACGGCTGTCCAGATCACGGAGCACGAAGCAGAGCTCTGGGGAAGCCATGTGGGGTCGGCACCTTGCCAGCGGAGTGGGCTCACCGTCCGGTGTGGGCTCTGCTTCCGGGGCGTCGCTGGGTGGCTTCATGGCCAGCAGGATCTCGACGGCCCAGCGGAGGTGGAAGACCACGTCCTCGAGAGGAAAGTGTCTGTGGTGGAGCCACTGGCCGAACTCCATGAGGTACTCCACCTTCTGCCACTCCGTCTCAGGCTTCTGTGGGGGTGAATAGAGAGGGCAACACCTTTGCGACAGCCCTCAAGGCTTTCCTGACGTAGTGAATACTTTCATTGCTCACTTTCTAGAAGAAAAGGTTTATTCTTATCCCACAGTGACCGTTTGGAGGCTGCCTCTAACGAGGTCAAGCTGCCATTTAGGCTCATTGGGACGTTTCAGGCACAGACGAGGCGGCGCTGCTGTTTCTTTACACAGGCAGCGTGTGGGCAGGCTGCAGCTTGGCGAATTCCTTCTCTCTTCTCACCCTCTGCAGGTGCCACCTCCTGGGGCCTGCTAGGTCCCCAGGCATTCCCTGTGCCGCAAGAGGACATGGGACAGGGGTCCTGCTGTCGCCCTGTCTGTGGGTGGCCCTGTCTGGGTGGTTCTGCGGGCAGCCCCGCGTCCCTGCTGGAAAGGACGCCTCCTCAGGGCGGGAAAGGTGTTTGCCCTGTCCTGCGTCCAGATGCAGAGTCCCATCCAAGGCCCGGCCGGGGCAGACTTGGCCACCGTCGCTACAGAATCGGATGAGACCACCCTAACCTGACCTTTGCAGAGCAGAGCCCCAGCCCTGTGAGCCGGGGTTAGCCTGCACCGCACCCTCTGCAGCCCTGCCTGGGCCAGTCCCTGCTGGAAAGGACGCCTCAGGGCGGGAAAGGTGTTTGCTCCCGTCCCAGGCCCAGATGCAGAGTCCCATCCAAGGCCCGCCGGCAGAGACTTGGCCACCGCCGCTACAGAATCGGATGAGACCACCTCTAATTTGACCTTTGCAGAGCAGGAGCCCCAGCCCCCAGAGCTGGGTTAGCCTCTGCACCGCACCCTCTGCAGCCCTGTGAGCCGGAAAGGCCTGCATCAAGACTCTCTGCAGCTCTGCCGGGTTGGGGCTGGGGCCTGCACCGCACCTCCGCAGCCCTGCGAGCCGGGGTTGTAGCCCACACCGCACCTCCCGCAGCCCCGCGAGCCGGGGTTAGCCTGCACCGCACCTCTGCAGCCCTGTGAGCCGGGTTAGCCTGCACCGAACCTCCGCAGCCCTGCGAGCCGTGGGGTTAGCTCTGCACCGCACTCCGCAGCGCCCCAAGTAGGCCGGGCTAGCCTGCACTGAAACCCTCCGCAGCCCTGCCGGCTGGGGTTAGCCTGCACCGCACCCTCCCCTCCACAGGTGTTGCCGGGGCCACAGCCACACTCTTCTCCAGCAGGGTGGACCTCGCATGGGTGTCGCTGCCACTTCATTTCTGCTGCCAAATATCTGTGGCTCTCTGAGCGCTGGCCCATACCACTTATTCAACCCACGAATCTGCTGGGGGTTCCCTCTGTGCCCGGCACTCACGCTACATTGGCCGTCATAAGCAGGTGCCTATGGGCCTCAAAGCACAGATGCTCTGCAGGACACATGGCTCAGGACCAGAGACCCAGTGGTAGTAGGAATGGGGCCTCACTCGGCGGAAGCTGAGGAGAGCCTTGAGGCGCTGAGAAATACCATGGGGGGTGTCTGTGGAGAGGGTGCTCCGGGCAGGGGTGCAAGGCCCTGCAGTGCGGGTAAGACAGGAAGGGACTGAGCCACAGCACTGTGGGCTGGAGAATGCGGACAGCAGCTCTGACCTGGACCTGGGGAGCCTCCCACTGCTCTGCAGAGAACAGGCCGGGGTGAGCCAAGAAGAGGTGAGCGTTGCCCACACAGGGAGACGGAAAAGAGCCCAGGGCAGCAGGGAGAGGGGTCTGGACAATCTGAGGGCGAAGCCCATCACGGAGTGTCGGATGGGCAGGTGTGAGCGTGGAGGGGTGTGGGAGGGTGTGGGATGTGGGGTGTGTGGGATGTGGGTGTGAGTGGTGTGTGTGGGATGTGGGGTGTGTGTGGGATGTGGGGTGTGTGTGGGATGTGGGTGTGAGTGGTGTGTGTGGGATGTGGGGTGTGTGTTGAATGTGGGATGTGGGGTGTGTGTGGGATGTGGGGTGTGAGTGGTGTGTGTGGGATGTGGGGTGTGTGTGGGATGTGGGGTGTGTGTTGAATGTGGGATGTGGGGTGTGTGTGGGATGTGGGGTGTGAGTTGTGTTTGGAGGTACTGGGAGTGAATGGTGTACATGAGATGTGCGTTACAGGTGTGAAGTTGCGGCCTGTGGGGTGTGTCTGGGTTGTGGCTGTGGGCTGTTATGTCGCGTGTTTCTGTGGGTCTAGGTGCGAGGTGTGGGTTTGTTGTGGGTGTTGGGTGTGAGTCCAGTCACTGCAGGATGGAGCTGCAACATCTCGAGGGGAAAGGCAAGAGGAAGAATGGTGGGAAAAGCAGGCGTTTGGTTTTGGGTGAGACGCTGGCCCCAGGGCGGGGCCAGGCAGGCAGCAGGATTCACGGGTCTAGGGGCAGGGTCTGGGCTAGAGAATTGCTTGTGGGGAAAATGGGCGGCAGCCATGTTTAGTTCAGGACGTGGGGTGAGATCAGATGGCCAAGGTCCTGCCCTTAGCCCAGGGCCTCCTCTGTCATGAAGAGGAGGGAAGGGGAGAAGGATGGGGAACTGGTGAGGTGGTGGGGCCTGGGAGCCACAGTTACGTATTGCTGGGATGGGGTGGCTGGCTGCACTGGCTGAGGGTGAGGTGGGGCAGGAGGGGAGGGCAGCACACGAAGGCAGGCTTTCACATTACGGATGCAGCCAGGTAAAGCCAGGTGAGCTGAGGCTGAGTTGAGGACAGAGCCGAGGCTCTGTGCGTGGCGGGGAAAGATCAAGGAAACAAACAACTTCTGCCAGAAGTGCCAGCTGCGAAACGAAGTCCCTGCATTACGCAGCTGCATGAGGGTGGTGGCTGCAGAAGGGAGGGTGGCGGCTGCAGAAGGAGGGTGGCAGCTGCAGAAGGAGGGTGGCGGCTGCAGAAGGAGGATGGGCCACCTGCGCTCTCGGGGTGGGAGTCTCGCACCTGTCACAGATCCGTCCTAGGACTGGGCTCCAAGGTCCACGGAGGTTCCGGCACGCAGCAGACTCACTCCCAAGTCCCAGAGCTCTCACCACACCCGACCCGGGGTGAGGGAGGCCGGGCCTCTGCCCACCTCTACAGCCACTCACCCCGGGAGCTCCTGCAGGAGCTCTTCCACACCTCTGGCCTCGGCCCCAGCAGAGGCTGGCCCTCTCCCGTGGCTGTGGCCAAAAGAACACTGCACCCAGCATCCTCAGTCCCTTCCTCAGACAAAGCTCCCTTTGACCCTGGTATGCACACACCCGTCTCTGCCATCAGAGACCTGCTCACACTTGTCCTCAAAGTGCCTGAGACCTGCACACACCTGTCCCTGCCATCAGAGACCTGCACACACCTGTCCCATTTCCGAGATCTGTACATACCTGTTCTCAGTGCCTGAGACCTGCACACACCTGTCCCCCTTCCTGAGACCTGCACACACCTGTTCTCAGTGCCTGAGACCTGCACGCACCTGTCCCTGCTATCAGAGACCTGCACGCACCTGTCCCTGCTATCAGAGACCTGCACACACCTGTCCCATTTCCTGAGCCTGGGCACACACCCGTTCTGCAGCCCGAGACCTGCACACACCTCGTCCCCTCCCGAGACCTGCACACACCTGTTCTCAAAGTGCCTGACCTGCATCGCACCTGTCCCTGCCATCAGAGACCTGCACGCACCTGTCCCTGCTATCAGAGACCTGCACACACCTGTCCCATTTCCTGAGCTCTGCACACACCTGTTCTCAGTGCCTGAGACCTGCACACACACCTGTCCCCTCCTGAGACCTGCACACACCTGTTCTCAGTGCCTGAGACCTGCACGCACCTGTCCCTGCTATCAGAGACCTGCACGCACCTGTCCCACACAGAGACCTGCACACCTGTCCCTACTTCCTGAGCTCTGCACACACCTGTTCTCAGTGCCCGAGACCTGCACACACCTGTCCCCCTTCCTGAGACCTGCATGCACCCTGCCTGAGACCTCACACACCTGCCCTCAGTGCTGGAGATAAAGTCTGAACCTCCCTGGCAAGGCTTCTGGATGGGAGTCACTGAATCTTATACCATCTAGGACCCTCTCTTTTCTGGGAGTTTTTCAAAACAAGTGACAGGCTGTCTGGTTCTGTAGCCTGCCTCATCCTCCCAGTGAAAGCAACCTAAATCTGGACAGAAGATGTCTGGCTGCTGTCTGTGAGTTTGGAGGGCAAGTCAGTGCTGGCAAAAACTGGCAACTACAATTTTTGCACAGAGAGAAGCACCCGTGGGCCTCCATCCATCTGGCTTTTTCCTGGGGCTGCCATCCCTGCAGGGGAACAAAACCTGGGGGAATGCAAGCGCCCAGGGTGAGGAGAGGAGGCTGCAGCTGGGACTTCCAGTGCTGAGGCTTGCAGGGCCAGTCCCAGGAGGAGGGGCCGAGGAGAAGGGGTCTGAGGTCCGCATTTCCTCAGGGCTGCTGGGGCTGGGCTTGGCTGCTCAGGGCAGAGGAGGATGTCATGTGCCTGGCAGGAGCCAGCTGAGACCAAACAGCCGGCAGCGCTCGCCGGGAGACCGGCTCAGCAAACGTCCCGGGGCTTCTACCGGGGACCTAAGGGTCACATCTGGGGAGTGAGAGCAAACGAACAAAGACCAGACCAGACCTCGGATCCTGACCCAGGCGCCTCGCACACGATCCGCCCCAGAACAAAGTGGCACTTCTGGCAGACACTCTGTGGGTTCCTGCTCATCCAGCCTCAGAAGGTAAGAAACTGACATGGCAGAGGCAGAGAGGAGCCACCTATGACCAAGAGAAACGAGAGGTTGCAGAGACCCACAACAGGTACTGGAAATAGAAACTTCAGCAAACTGTGAGTGGCAAAGCAAAAGACGGACAGACAGAGGCTGTGCTAGAGATGAATGCTACAGCCCAAGCTTCCGCCTGCAGCCTCCGTCAGCAAAGTTGATGTTTTTCTTTTTTCTTTTCTTTTCCTGGGAGCGGCCGGGCAGACGGGCTGGGAGGGGCTCACCTGGAAAGCCAGATGAGCTCCGAAGGTGAGCAGCCGTGCAGGCTGGTACAGGTTCATCTCCAGCAGAACTTCTGCCTTCAGCATCCACAGAGAGGGAAAGGATGTCCCATCCAGGCCCTCCTGCCTCTCTATCCATCTCAAAATCTGGAAGAATTGAGCCCCCAGTGGAATGACATCAGGACTCTGAGTCCCACGGACGAGCTCTGGCTCAGCAGCTGTCCCTGCGACTCAGGAACCACACCACACCGAGGGCACCCTGCTGGCCTAGTACTGTGGG